GAGACCAGGACTGCAGCAGCCAGTCTGCGTTCTCCTTAGAGCCACATCTGACAACACTCTGGTCACGTTTTAATTAGTTGCAAGGGTTTTCCACTGACCAGGAACAAGAACTGGCTCTGATTAAATTTCGAAATTGCCGGCAGAGCTCAATCATAACAAACACAATGAATCCGGTTATTATGGCTTGAACGGTTAAAAACAGAAAATAAAGACCCCAGAACAGACTATGGTCTTCACGTGTGCCCTTGGCGACCATCTGGGCCCGGGCCCAGGGTTCTGAACTGTTGGGCACCCAGGCGAGGAGGACGGGTGCCTTGGGGAGGTCTGGTTGGCTGGGGGCTTCGGGGGAGCTGTTGGCAGGGTGGGGAGGCGGACTCCGGGCGTCCAAACACCCCGGGTCCCGGTCGGGTAGGGCCCAGAGCTGCCAGCCGGCGCGCTGCCCCGGGCTGAAGCACCGCGGAGGTTCGGTTCGGCCCACGAGGTCGGGGTGCAGCCGCAGCCAGGTCAAGAATGGCAGCAGCTCACAGTCGCAGCGCCAGGGATTGTGCCCCAGCAGGACCTCCGCCAGCCGGGGCAGAGCCCCAAACACGTCGCCAGGCAGGGTCTCCAGCTGGTTGTGGTCGAGCCGCACCTCTTCCAGGCGGCTGAGGTCTCGGAAGAGCGGGCGGGGCAGGGTCCGCAGCCTGTTGTGGCTCAGCGAAACTTGGCGCAAGCTGCGGAGGCCGCGCAGCAAACCGTCGGGGAGAGAGGTCAGGTTGTTGGAGTCCAGGGCGAGCACCCGGAGCTCGCCGAGGCCGCTGAAGGCGCCTTCTGGAAGCGCGCTCAGACCCGGGCTCGCAGTCACCCCCAGGGCCCGCAGGCGGCTCAGGTTGCGGAAGGCGGCGGCCGGCAGGGTGCGCAGCAGGGAGACGTTCAGCCACAGCTCCTGCAGACCCCGCGCCTCCCCGAAGAGCACCTCCGGGAGCTCTTTCAGCGGGTTCTCGAAGAGGGTCAGGAGAGTCAAATTGTGCAAATGAATAAAGAGTGCCGAGGGCAGGAACTCGAGGCGGTTTCTGGAAAGAGTCAAAGAGCTCAGATTTCGGAGCCGGTCGAAGGTACTGGGGGCGATGGAACGGATGTGATTCCTGTCCAGCTGCAGCTCCACGAGGGCGCGCAGGCTGCGGAACGGCCCAGAATCCAGAGAGGCAAGCTGGTTCGAATGGAGCAAAAGTTTCTCAAGCTTAGCTTGTGCCTCAAGCAATCCCTTGGGCAGATGGGTCAAATTGTTTCCCGATAAATCCAACAATTTTAGGTTCTTCAGATTTGCAAAGAGGCTAACGGGAAGGAAAGCCAGTTGATTTTGGTTCAAAAACAGCTCCTGCAGATTAACCAGTTTCTGAAACATGTTTTGATCAATGTCCTTTAGCTCATTTCGGTCCAAGAACAACTGTTCCAGGAGCACCATCTTATCCAACAGCGCACCTGGAAGATGAGTTATTTTGTCGCGCGACAACCTCAAGGTTTTTAGTTTTACGAGGTCATGGAAGGTACCGGGGGCAATGGCGGAGATCGGGCTGTCTGACAGTATCAGGCGCTGCAGGACGGTCATGCCGCTGAAGCTGTGGTTCTGCAAGGCGCCGGGGCCCATTCGAAAGAGGAGGATGTGCGTGAGGTTGGTGGGCAGACCGAGCGCAGCGATGCGCGCCACGCTGCCTCCCGAGCACTGCGCGGCGTCCCGGTAGACACACCTGCAGGTGGGTGGGCAGGGGAAGCGCTGGGCGCGCAGGAGCCCCAGCACCGCGCACAGCAGCGCGCTCCTCAGCATGTCCGAAGGAGCGACAGTGGGAGGTCTGTGGGCAATACACAAAAGCAAGTGCTCATATTCGCTCTTGGAACCCCGCGGAAGCATAATCCTCCTCGGGATTATCGCTGACTTTGAATGTTATCCAGTTACAACTAAGTCTCTCTCTCCTTGTGAGCGACTTATCTGCTTGAAAATGCACATTTTCCTGGGTGGTGAGGTCTTTCATTCTACGCTTACAGGTCTCATTCTTTTCCCGCAATGATTTTCTGCCCTCTAAGAGCGTTGACATTAAAGCGCTTTCAAGTTACCAGTACACTCGCACAGAATTAATCATTCCCACATTCGAGCCCACAGACATCACAGAGCAGTGTCCGCTGTGAAAGCAGCTCTGCTCTTGACGTCGGGATTTACCCAGAACTTACCCATCGTCCAAAAGGTAGCAGCAAAATCGGTTTAACAGCAGCAACCTCTGCCTAATTCCTGTATCACAATCATGGTATAGCCACGGTATCCACTTATTCTACTAAAATAATGAACACCCCCAAATAGTAAATGCCATCAGTTAACAGTCGCACTGAGAAAAGCAGGTAATAATACTACTTAGTGCCATGCATTATTCTCAGCACTTTGTTTAAATGAATCCATTAAGCTTCACAATAACCGTATGAGGTTGGTACTATTATTATCATCAATTAAGGGATGAAGAAACTAAGGCCCAGAAAGATTAAGTAACTTAAACAGTGTCACACAGCTAGAATTTGAGAGTAGTATTTCAGAGCAATAATTGCAGAGCCATCATTTCAAAGGTGCTTAATTAAAAATTAATACTCATGGCATTACCTGCGATACATAGCAATGCTAATCCACCAAAACAATTTCCCTAGTGGAATTTTATAAAAATCATTTCTTGTCCTAAATTCTAGTTTTTATGCACACACAGAAAAATCTAGTGCTCCCTTTCCCCATGTTAATTTTTAAAGTATTTGACCTTACCTGAAATGGTAATGCTCCCCAAGGCAAATGAGAGGCTTACAGCTTTGCCTGTAATTTGGCACTTTACAAAGGAAAAGGGAGGTGTTCTTGCATCCGGAGGATAAAGACTTCACCAGAATAGAAGTCATGGAGAGGGCCCTATCTCAGAAGGCATATTCTGGTTTTCAATGACAAATATATTCAAACTGAAAGAGACCATATATAACCCAAATCCTACTGTCAACGCCAACAAGAGCAGTGTGAATTTTCTCCATAAAAGGTCCAGTATGACTCTAATGCTAGAAGAGTTTAGTGCCACAGCTGGATCATTGCAGCAGCCACACCCCTACACAGGCCCCACTTCCTTTGGTTTTCCTTTTCTGCCACATTGCCCTAGCTCTCTATCCAGTCCTCCTGCTCCCCTTTTTAGGAATAAGACTAAGAATATTTTTGATTCTTGTTCAGTAATGGCACTGCTGGGTTGGTCCACGTTTGAGTTAGCTTGGCAATGTCAAACTGCTTTCCAAAGTAGTTGCACAAGGTATGTGTGTGGAGGTCCTGATGGGCTTCATCGCTCTGCCCACACTTGGAACTGATTTTTTTTGCCATTTGTATGAAATAATTACCTGTTTTTTTTTCAATTCCCCATTGAAAGTAAACTTGAACATCTTTTCATATTTTTTATGGCCATTTGTGCTTCATCTTCTGAGAATCTTCCCTTTTGCCCATTTTCTACTTGCAAAATGTGCACCTATGTCGTTCAAAACGGAATTGTAGGTATACTTTATGTATTCTGGATATGAATCCTTTGTCAGTTACAGGTGTTACAACTATCTTCAATTACTTTGTGACCTGCCTTTTCACCCTTTTGTGATGTTTTTGTCTGGACAGAAGTCTTCATATAAGTTAGCAATCTCTTTTTATGATCTGTACTTTTTGTCTGTTAAAATAAGCTCTCCTCTCCTCCCAAGTCAGAAAAATCTTACCCTAAAATGCCGTTTCTATAGTTTTGTCTTTACTCCATCTTCACTTCATTTTCATATATGAAGAGTACAATTTTATTTTTTCCCATTAACCAAATATCCTAGTCATATATATTGAACATAAAATCTCCCTTCTTCGCTCAGAGTTACAAGGTCAGCCCTTCCATGGTCCAACATCCCATGAATCTGTGGGTCTGTTTCTGGCCTGTTTGATAATGTGTCTGCCAACACCACAAAGAAGTAACCTTTTTAATATTTAAAATCTGAAAATATACAGTGTTTTGTGAAGGGTGAAGAAATACACTCTCATAATGCAGCAGTAGAAATATATTTTGAGCAAACTGCAGGATGTCTCTGGTTTATAATCGTTGTTTTGTTTTGTAGTTATTTTTTCCCCTGATGTCTTATTTGGTTCCCCTACATTCTTCCTATAAGTGAAACCATCTGATATTTTTTTTTCCTTCTGACTTATTTCACTGAGCATAATTCCTTCTAGCTCCTTCCCTGTTGCTGTGAATGGCATTGGTTTATCTTCTTTGATTGCTGAATATTCCATTGCATATATATACCACATCTTCTTGAAATGTGCTTTTCTCTCTGTGGAAGAGACTCAGAGACCTGAATAACCACAATTACAAATTTGAAGAGGTAGTCTTATTCAAATCCCTAGAACTGTCTGTCCTTCCCTGCAAAATAAACTCAGACTAAAGCACCTAGCAGTGATGTAGGGGCAAGAGGAAGGAGACATTCAGGCAGAATTCATACCACAGCCAGCCACAAAGCCAGCAGCAGAGAAAGCATGCTTCCTGTAGAATCTTCCATACCAGGAAACACCTTTTACCCAGGCACAAAGGTCCTACACATTCCTGCCTTCTCTGGAATCTCTGACCACTGGTTAGTTCTATGGTTTCTCCTTGGCATGTTCTTTTCCATGCTCATGGATACCACCATTTCACTTCAGACTTACCGCTTCTTACATATTAGCTCTGGGCATGATTAATCAACTATTAATAGGTTATTGCCTAGTTGTATATGTTACCACTTCCCTCAGATACTAAACATTTGGCTCTATATTCTATCTGACAGATAGGTTTCCACAGGATGGGCATGTACATGAAGTGCTATAGGACGTATAGTATTATGTCTTTCAAAAATCCATAGTTAAAAAAAGGAAGTAGAAAACTATAAAACAAGAAATAAGGAGGGCATATTCAAGTCATTAAAAAGCAAATAATGCATAAAGACAGAGAAAAATGTTATTTCATTCATTTAAATTTTTATTTCGAATAGTTTCAATCAAAAAAGATCTCATAAGGTTATTTACAGTGCTAAATGTACAATTATGAATGTATGCCTTTTTGACATTAGGGTACCATTCTTGAGCAGCAATACAATTTTAAAAATATAAAGATGCAGTATCATTTCTGATATAAAGTTACTTAAAAAAATCCAAAGTCTTAAGGAATTCACAAATCATAACAGGAAGTAACTATTTTATTAATTTCATGTGCACATAATTACCAAATTTTAATACATTAAAAATGTGTAAATGCCCACATACTGTACAAAAATTAACATCCCACATTCTGTTAAAAGTCCCCAACGACCTCCCACCAAAAATATACAAAAACCTACTTTCAGATATGTCAAAATTGCATGCAAAAAATCTTAGAATTTGTTTTCTAAAGCTTGAATTTTTTCTATTCTCTGGATATTGTATCTATAGCCATTTTGGGAAAAGAATACTTAAACAATGATATATTTCATGCCTCTGAAACTGTGTAGTATATTCATAAACACAGGGAACAAAATAAATAAGAGTTAAAAAACTGCGACAGTTTTATTTAAACGCAAGTGCAGTTTGGAAAGCTTTCGAATGTAAGGATTATAAAACTAATATAAAAAATTACTTTGTTGTTGGCTTAGCCACTTCTTATTCAAGCATTATTTGCAGCATTGCTTTACAGCAGTTGGTGCTAAAAGATACAAAACATATAGTTACCGCTATTTATATTTGAGGGAAGAAAAAAAAAAACTTTAAACAACCCTGAGGGAGACACACATTAAAAATCTTGTTATTTATTTAAAAAGTTAAAAAAGTTACATATCATTATTTAACAATTACTTTCCCAGACATTTCTGTCCTTTAAGTATGTGCATAAATAAAATTTAAATCGGCAATATTTATTAATCTTAATACATCAAAATAATATATGTACAGATTTTTAAATTTTAGGTATGTATACACTCAAATAACTTATGTGAAATTCAGAATTAAAATCACTGTGTAATGGTGACCTACAGAGAGGACTCAGTCTATCTATGGCACCGAGTAGGACCCATACCTGGATTTAAAAACATTCTTCAAATAACATTCTGGAAACCATCAATTACAACTTGAACAACACCTTGTTTTTGTTCAATCTAATTTCCTATAAACGCTTTCTCACCTACCCAAAAATTTCATTTCTTTGAGAACAGTTTGGACAGATGAGATAAAAAACCTTATAAAATTTAAATGTTAAAAAAAAGGGGAAGGGTGTCAAAAATATAGTTCTTTATGACCATGCGCTTAAAGATGTTAAACACTCCTGATAATAGGATTTGAAGGTGCTACTTAACAATGCATTATAAGCTTCAGTACTTATAGAATAAAATTTACAATTCTAGGAAATCACTGAAGAATAACACTTGTTCATACTGACAGTGAGTACAGAAATTATAAAATGATTGTGAGAGTAAGTAACTATAGAAAACAGTGCTAATTCACAGCTCAAGAGGTCTAAGATGCATAGCTTCATAGAATCATTCATGAAACAATTGTTCGTATCATCTAATGTGTATTAATATCATATTATACTTTGAGATGGAAAACTTCAATTATGTTTTTGTTAAGAAGTATCAGTGGCAATAGCAAGAACAGTGATCCTGAGTGTAACTTACATTTTTCTACAGTTACCAAACATCATTCAGGTCTCTGCAGCATCAAAAAATGAGAACCACTTGGTCCTATAGTATTGGGTAACATTTTGTAAGTTGGTAAATACATATCAGGAAAATAATGATCAGCTAGGAGTAGAAAGCACAAGCATGCTATTGATTAAGGAAGAACATAGGATAATATCACACAGTTTTAGTACTTTAGCGTTTATCATAACTGTGGGTTTTGCCAAACTGCTGGATCTTACCTATGAAGGCATTTTTAAAATCACCTTAATTTTGTTTCGCATTTAAACATTAACCAGGCAAAACAAAGATGAAAAATAATTTCCACATTTCCTCTGGTTCAGTGGATGTCTTAATTCTTTATTTCAAAATGTTTTCCTCTCAGAAATATCCACAACCAAAAAAATATGTTTGATCAAGGTAAGCACTCAATCCATCATGAGTAAGCTCTGACCTCTGGCACCACCTAATGGCATAAAACAAACTCTCACTAAGTTCATATTGCTTTGAAAAAAGTAGCAGTCATTCAAAACCACTCATTTTTCAAGCCTCATTATTGACAGAAGACATATGTCAAACCTCAGGAGGTAAAATTCTAACTAAAAACAAAACAGCAACTATTATCCTATGTCTTAGGTAATGAAGAATGTAGAAAAACTGACTTTTTTAAAATAATAAAACCTGCAGAAAAAACAGACACGAAGGGTATAGAAAGCTAGATCGACATCTACTGTCAAAAGAAATGATCTTATTTCCTAGTGAAAAGGGTTCTTTAACATTTAACTAAAGCCAATTATACTACTGACACCAGACATTGCACAAGATCATTTAATAGCTTAGAGGGACATCTCAAGAAGGCAGTGAAGCACCTTGCTGATTAGAAAAGTAAAACCCAGGCAGTTTGTACAGAAAATATAAAACCATAAATGTAAATTACCTGAGTTGTTCTATAAGCAACACCATAAAACTCACTTCTAACTCTAGGCTATCAAAGGTAACTGGTGTCTATGTGGGTATAGACTTCTTTGGAAGAAATAATGGGATCAAACAAAAAATATGCTTTGTTTTCTCTGGAGGCTAATTAACAGACATTTTATTTATCACTCACAAATTTAGAGCCTTGTTTATAAGTGAGGACTTTTTCTACTTAAGGGAGTTGTGAAAATAAATTTAAAGGATATTGTAAAAGTAATTCTCAAAGGCCAATGTCTAAAAACCTACCAAATATCAATTTTCTTCTGCACCCAATATAGAGAATATCACTGAGAAGAACAGACAAGAAAATTATGGAAATATAGATAACACTTAAGAGTTACTGAATGGATATAGGGACTTTATACAATGATAATCAGTTTCACTGATGGGCCAGTATCTTTGCTTTTTGGGTTTTTTTTTTGGGGGGGGGGGGGCTTTTTTTTTTTTTTTTTAAGCTCTGAAATTAATTACTCTATCAGAAGGGACATAAATTAAAATGGTACCATTCAGACACACAGGATCAGGAAGTCCTAAAATACTTTCTCCTCAAAACTATTTGCATACCACTGAGTCTGATTCATTGCTATGTTATGGTGATGATTTGACATGATCCATTCTCCTTAACTAAAGCTTTAGCTTCTGTTGTTGTTTGAGGTTTTGGTGGCCATTCTGGATCCACCAAGAGCTCCTGAGCTAGATACATATACTTTGCCTTTGGTATCTTCTTTCTACAGCCCAGGGCCCAGGACAAGCAGCATTTTCCCCATCGATCCACTGACTCCTAAGAAAATAAGGAAAAGAAAGAACATCGTAATAAAGTCTGCTTTTTAAAAACAGGATTTTATAGCACAACACATAAGCAAAGGGAAATAAGAGGAAATAACTTTTAAAAACAAATTTTTAAAAAACGTAAAAAAAGTCAGCTTTCAATTATTTAGGAACATGTATTTTTTTTAAGATTAGTTTTTTATTTTTTAATGTAACTTACTCTCTTTTAGAGTTATGTACCTATCCCTCTCATGTACAGGTACATTTTTTAAGAATAAGTTGTAGATTTGGGTTCTATGATTCTATAACACAAAACATCTAATGCACTAAGAATAACTTTAAACTATTCAGAAAGAGAACATATTTTTAGTATTTAGTAGGAGACTCATATTCAATCCCAAACTACATTTTGGTAGTACTGTTCCTAGCAACTCAGTCACTTGACTATTTTGGAAGAAAATCATAATAGTGTTACTGTTAATATCATTTTCAAAACATTTGGTAGGATTAAAAACTTGTTAGGTCAAAATTATAACTCAGATCACACATGTAATGGCAATATCTGTCTTTAAAACCACATTCTCATTAATATAAAAAAGCTTTCATTTCATAATAATGGCTTTCCCATGGTGCTCCAGAGCTAGAAAGAAGTATACAGAGAGGTATAAAACAAGTACTTAGTATCACTTCATTATCAAAAGCTGTGCTGTCATTGAAATCCCTCTGACCAATCCTGATGTTTTTGATGAAGGCAATCTTAAATAAATAATTCTGGGAGAAGAATTGGTTTTGGTATAGAAGTGCAAATTCAATAGAGACCATCAAAATTTGTCTTAATTGAAATCTGAAATAAAACTAAATGACAACATAGTTATGGTCACCTCTGAAGAAGTCAATTCTTATTTTGGCTATTACTTCTCCAAAGCAAAATTTAAATTCCAAGTTGTTTTGTTTTGCCATCAACATATACCCAAGCTACTACTAGGTCTTATCTCAATTGAAGTAATCTTCAAAAATGGAAATATTCATAGATGTTCAGTGTTCTGACATTAACACCCCAAATACCTTCATGATCAAGAAAGGCAAATTTGCTTTTACATGTATTTTGAAACATACTCTGGTCATGGAAAACAACAAAAATACTTTAAAATGAAAACTGTTTTAACAACTTTTTCATACTTTCACTTGGTAAAATTAGGACAATCACCATGAACCTACTACTCTTTCCTCCTCAAAAACTGCGGGTGGGCATTGTGACAATAACTAACAGTCTCTAAAGGTTGTCTCATTTACTTGTAAACAAAATACAGGATGCTACACAACTACCAAGAATTTAAAGTTCAAAACTGTGATCACAAGTTAAGCTATATTAGATTCTGGGAAGGTGGGGTGATGAAATATAGACTTGAAGATTGTCTAGTAGTCTACTGTCCTAACTAAAAAGAAAATTATTACTATTATTATTATTATTATCACCTTAAAAGAAGTCCACAAGGAAACTAGTTGACATTAGGATAGAGACTAGATATAGAAATCTTCAGGTGATCCAAATACAAATAATTTCTTTCCAGTGTAGTCATGTGCACAACAAAACTTAATATTTAATAAGAGATGATGGTTCAAACTATCTTTTCTCCAAAATGTTTAAATTCTTCCGTCTAATTTTAAGAAAGATCAATGTTCCTAAATTAATCTGAAAGCTGTCACTTCTTTAAGGAGGGGGTGGGAGGAGAAACACAGATTTTGTCTGACTAGATGAGATGGCTGGATTGAAGAGCAATGCACAGAAAGCTGAGTTAAAGAAAGTTACAGCCAAATGTATTCACATGTAAGATACAAACATGTATCTCTAATTCCATTGTTCCCTACCAGTGGAAAATGAGTCAAGCAATGAAATTAAACCAAATTTCAGTAGTATTCTTTAACATTAAAGGCGCATTTTTCTTTCTTTTTAAACCTCGTGTCCCTATTAAAAGCAATGTACCATTTGTTATAACTTAAATAATAAAGTCATAAGGAACATCAGGGATTCCCCATGCACTATAATTAGACACATATTTTGTTCGTGGAGCCTCACCTCCCCCAGTATCATGCACATACCCTCACTTCTTCAATATCATACACAACTAATACATTATAAACATACCATTTTGCTAGTTTACAAACATAGCATTCAGTCTCAAACGTAACTTCACTAGTAGAGAAAATGAAAGGTGCTACAAGCAAAGTGGAATGAGAAATAAATCAAGGGAGCGAAGATGGTGACAAGAGAAAGGCAAGCAACTGTGCAACAAAGAAGTAGGGAGGTATGAGTATAACAGGGGCTTAAGAATTAGAATTCATACAAGATGCCTCAAATAGTATCTACCACAAAAAGTCAGTACTGACAGTAGTTATACTTGTCTCAATTCTGCCATATGACCGTTACGTTAGTTTATATCTCCGTGGTCTCATAAGTGATATGTGTGAGGCAGTATGGCAATGAGAATCAGAAATCCTGATTTCAAATCCCCATTCTGCCATTCATTAGATACATAACCTTAGCAACTCAATTAAATGCTGCTTATGAGTAAAATTAAGTTAAAAACACCTTAAGATTGGGAGGCTCCTAAAGGTGTTATACAGTACTTTGTAGATGACCAGGCATTTTGGACATAACTCCAGAGATAGCAGGTGAAGCTCCTGACTTCCCAATTCAACTCTCCTAAGTTATAAAGTCTAGTCCAGCCTACCTTTGAAAGGTCCAACCCATCTCACTGGTCCCTGGGTCTACATGGCAAAGAAGTAAAAGAAGAAACATAGCTTCTTTGCCTAACATTAATATAGAAGGTTGAGAGTTACAGCCTGAGACCTCAACTGATTTTGTCAGAAAAGAGAACAGAATTGACAAGAGTTTTGTTAGAAAAGAGAACAGAGTAGAACAGGAGTTTGTGGTTGAAGAAAATTAAGGCAACTATAAAAGTCCCAGGAGTTTGTAACTCTCACCTTACTTTCTTTTTGACTTTATGGCAGGGTTTTTCAACCTTGAGACTACTGACATTTTGAATTAGGCGCTCTTCATTGTGAAGGAATGTCCTCACAACATTACTACTGGATGTTTCTTTAGCAGTATCCCTGATCTCTACAGTTAGAAACTATGTGTCAACAGCAAACTCCCTAATTGTGATAACCAAAAATGCCTCCAGACACTGCCAAATAAATCCCTTGCCTTGGGGAAGGTGGCAGAGGGAAGTATAACTATTGAGAGACAGCCTTGTGGTAATATAACTGACTGACTAGCTCTGGAATGGTCAGAAATGTGAGTAGTGAAATAACATTAAATATAGAAGTATCAGAAGATGAAAGTGAATCATTCTAAGAACTCTTTTCTAATGCCAATTATTTAAAAAGTTCTTAATCATAATCATAGAAACTGAACATTAAAATTATACGCTCAGTGACTCTCAGAACTAGTAAGCCCACAGGGAGGGCACGTTTGAGCCTACCTGCTCTAGATCACGTTCTTCCTTCAGTCTTTCCCCTGAACACTTTCGATGCAAGACTTTACACAAGAGACACAAACTCTTAAAGGAGACAGGCACTTCTTCACAAATACTTAGGAAATAGCTAAATATACAAATATATAAATATTTAACAAATGATAGCATTTTCTGCCATTTAATCTTGGTTGAAAAGTGAGAAGGGGGGCCTCCCCGGTGGCGCAGCGGTTGAGTGCTGGGTTGCGAAGCTGCCCGCGGCCTCTGCGGCGCCGGTTCCATCCCCGGCTGCTCCCTGGCCACCGGAGGAGGGTCCCACATGGCGCGCAGACCTCTCCTGCTGCCCGCTGCTCCCCTCAGCAGTGTACTTGGTCCTTCTGCCTGTTCTGCTCCCTGCTCTGGCTCTGGTGAATTCTCTCCCCCTCCCGCGCTTCTGACTGTACCCAGTGCATGTATAAACAAACAAACAAACAAATAAATAAATAAAATACATGCCTCTTTAAAAAAAATTGTTAAAAGAAAAGTGAGAAGGGATTTCCAACTTAAATATTTTAAAGGAAACTTATGTTACCCATTCTTGACTAAATGGGGATATTAAGCTCTCCTCAGAATCTGCATTTCCTGTTTAGATCAGCAATCACTTTAGAGAAGGCTAAAACTCATTGTAAATGTTTTCCTGGCCCTTAGGCCTTGTCAATATAAATGTCACTTGATAGGAACCAAAGTTAATCCTTTAAAGTAAGGTGCAGTAACATAAGGAAAAAAAAAACAAACCTAGACACAGATAAGATTTAGCTATATAGGACCTGGTCATACCTACTACTAGGGACAAATGGGCACTATACTCCTTTAACAAAAAGGAACTGAAGCTAATTCCAGACTCATCCTGTTAGGGGGAAAGGATGTCCTGAGATAATCTCAGTTGCTCTACAACAATTATGATAAAATTATCACTGTTCACCATAAAGTACTGGAAAAAGGAAGTGGCACTCTACAGGACCCCTTATAAAGCAATCCAATAATATTACACTGGGTATCAAAGCAGCTTAACTACCAAAATAAGAGCTCATGAAGCTGCTCTTTGGATAAAACAAGGCTTAAAAGTGAGTGATCCAACTTAGAAATGCTAGTGAATCCTTTTGAACTTTGAAGACTTTTTGGTGAGTCAGGATAAGTGAAAGATTTAGAACTTACCCACCTACAAACATCAATGGGCAATGCGATGCAGTAAGACTTTTATTGTGTCAAGTTCTCTATACACAAAAGGCTGACTTCGAGTTGTGATTCAATGGTACAGTTTGAAAAATAAGACTAACTTGTATTTTTTTATAAAGAATTATAAACATCTCAACACAAGGAAATGGGTTTTATTTACTGTTTCTCTTTTGCATATATTTCAAATAATTGGTTACTTAATGAATCCAAAAAGTTAAAGTTCTATATCATGGTTTGTATAAAAATGAGCACTGTGTCTCTGGAAATTATTCTGAATGATCAGAATAACAAAACCATCCAAAATAACAGAACAGTAATTGACAAGAAATCAGAAATAATTCCTCAAACTTTTGACCTCAGGACTTCAAATCCATGAAGAAACAATTCCTTTTTTTTTTTAATAACTGTTTAACATAAAATTTAGCTTCTAACAGGACTCACAAAAACTTGATATTGAAAACACACAAATGGATAAACTAATTCCCACCACTGAAGACAAGACCTTACAAACATAGAAGATAAGGACTAGAATGGAAAGAAAAGAGACTTACGAAATTTGAAGTCCTGAAAATGTAACAAATGTCTGTTGTGAATTTTCTAGGACTCCTTATAAGAAATGATGAAATGCCAAGCACAGGGAAAAAGGTTGAAGCAACACACAACAGAACAACCTATAGAATGCACAATACACAACTGAAAGAGCCTAGAAAGGGGAAGAATTGAGAGTAAGTGCTGATTTCCAACCTGTGGTGGCTGTGTGGTGGTGAAGCGATATTCTCCTTGTTTGTCTCGATTGAACACAACTTTCCAAAGGACCACGTCAAGGAAGAAGTTCTGAGAGATATTCCAGTGAGTTAAGAATTAAAAATGACTAAGTCATTCTTTATTAATGTGCACATTTAAAACAGCTCACACAATGCCGCATCATTAGTGAAAAACACGATCTGGTTTACATATACAGCAGTTCCCTTTATCCGCGGGGGCTGAGTTCCAAGACCCCCATGGGAACCTAAAATTGCAAATAGTACCCAACCCTGTATATTCTATTTTTTTCCTATATGTATCCACCTGTGATAAAGTTTAATTTATAAATTAGGCACAGAAAAATATTAGGAACAGTAACTAGTAATAAAATGGGATAATAGCTTAAACTACAGTTTAAACTATTAAACAGTTATGTTTAAGTTATATGAATGTGGTCTTTCTCTCAAAATATCTTTTTGTACGTAGTATATTCATACAGAGGTTCATCACAGGTAACTGAAACTACAGAAAGCAAACCGCGGATAAGGGGGGACTACTGCAGAGAATTTCAATTAATACGGCAAAAAGATAAAAAAACAACAGGATCTCTGTAATCATAAAATTCTTGATAAAATGGGACTTCTAAATTTTACATAAAATATTGTTTTTAACATGAATCCTCAGGTTTTCCCATAAACACTTACAATCTAGTCTTTTTCTTAGTTATTTTAACTGAATATATAATACCAATGATATATACAGCTGCATCTATAAATGAATATATTATACAACACAATCTTTTGACAGTAAATTAAGAGGGATTATGAAAGGATTCCCTAAAACTTCTTAAAATTCTAAATGTTTTTAAACCTTTTTATCTTAATAAAAAACATTTGAGTGAAAGATGAATTTATACTGTAGAAACACACTAAATACATAGTATCTTGGATGTGCTTTCTAGAGCCCATAAAATAGCAAAAATACATTTCACTGGGTAACTTAAATCATAAGTACCATAATATTTACGCTGCCTATTGAAGCCCAAATATAAATGCCACACCATCTTTTCGAATGATAAAAAATTAAGCAAAATTTGCAGGTCTGTGACTATTATCACCTAAGTACACGTATCTCTTGACAAATTACTTGCTTTTTATTTAAAAATCTAACCTAAAAAACCCCTACCTTAAAAATTACAACTGTATCTCCTATTTCCTATATTGCTACATTAGGGGTGAATTACAATAGTAGTTCTAGGAAGAAACAAGATTTTATTAAAAGAGCAGCAAATGAGTCCTATTTCTTTTAGAGAAGACTTAAGGTAATCCTAATAGGAAAGTATCTATATAATATACCATGAATTGTAGAGTCTTTGAGACCTCTATCAGAATAGTTAAATACTAAGGAGGAAGTTCCAATAATAAATGCTGGTAAATTCATAATGGTGATTATTTTTAACTGTCAAATAAGTTCTTATGAATATGTACTACATTTCATGGAGAATGTCCCCTCCTTTTCTTCCTTAAATGGGAAAGCTTACTATATCATAGGACTCCAGTAGTACACCCCCACTGATTTCAGTCAATGACTTACCAGTTTATAGGCTGCCTGAGCATCAATCTTCTGTCCTTTCTATCAATCACTAACTTTACTATCTCACCATTTATTGTAGCAGTCTAGTCAATTCATATCCCTTATGTGACCATAGCTCAAAGATGAGAAGAAAAAGTACAATGAATTTAAATAAAATGAAACTGAAGCTGTTTGTGGGCTTCCATAATATTACCTTTCTCAATCCCCTGTTTCCATTAAATCACCAAGAATCCTAAAGCAGCACGGTAGGTGTCTGATTATCTGCAGTGCTTACCTCCACCATGACAGATACAAAGGCATTGATGAGAACAATGATGAGCATAGTTATACGCCACTGATACGGTACACATACTATCTGTAAAACAAAAAAGTTTAAGTTGAAACTGTAGTAGGTAGTTGATATAACAGCACATCATAATTTCCAAATTTACAAAACTCATTATAATATATACACTTTTCAGATGATAAAGCTCAAAGCTTAAGTAACTCAAAGTTAAAAAAATAAAGTGCCCAGAGGCTCCTGGTGGCGCAAGGAGTTAAGTCTCAGCACTATGAAACTATCTGCAGCCACTGCAACACAGGTTCAATCCCCAGCCAGGGAGTTACCCCACATGGCACAGCAGACCTCTCCTGTCTTGCCCACTGCTCCCCTCAGCAGTGTATTTCAGTCAATCCACCTGTTTTGTGCCTCGCTCTGTCTCTGATGAATCCTCTCACCCCTTTCACCTCTGGTCTATCCCCCAGTTCTTGTATGCACAAATAAATAAATCTTAAAAAAAAAAAAGTGCCCAGGTTAGGGTCAAATTCTATTCATGGAACTCAACAGTCCATGTTCTACTAGATCATGAATGTCTAACAGGTGCCTGCTTAAAAAATAAAATCCTATCTTTAAACAATGAGGTAGATACAGATTGAACTACAAAGTATTATTCAAAACTCTACACTGCTATGAAGACAGATTTGTAAAAGAAGCATACAGATCAACGTAAATACTATCTATGTTTTCACTGTAAGATTGGGATCAATCTGTAAGGCCTAAAAATAGAAAACAATCCCATTTATGCACACAGTCTTTTAGTAAGCAAGTATTTACTGAACTAAGATACTATGTTAAGTGCCCAGGAGGGCACTTAGGATTCAATGTTTTCAAAAAACACTTATGACTCCAGCAGGGTCTGCAGGGTGGAGACTGTTACAGTGCTTCAGGCAGAAATGATGACAGCCTGAACTAGTGAGGAAGGCAGCATAATATATTCGTATTTGGTCTCTGTCTGGTTGCCCTGCCACCAACACTGAGCTTCTAAATCCCCAAGATTTCCTAGGTATCTTTTTTTTTTCTTGTTCTAATGAGAAACTCTTGGTGGCCTCTTGGAGAGCTTCAAGGTAAGGACTGACCACCAGAAAGACTAGGCCATGATTAGAAGCTTTGAACTTCAGCCCCACCCCACCATCTACCCTGGAGACTGAGTTTATTGATCATGCCTATGTAATGAAGACTCCATTATAAAATCCCTAAACTGCAGGGTTTGGAGAGCTTCTGGGTTGTTCAACACATCCATGTACTAGGAGGGTGGTATACCCTAATTTTGTAGGTACAGAAGCTCCTGTACTAGGATCCTTCCAGACACTCCACATAACTCTTTATCCGGCTGTTCATCTGTACCTTTATTCTTTATAACACACCAATAAACAAGTTTTCCCTGAGTTCTATGATCCATTGCAGCAAATAACTGAAACTGAGAAGGGGGCTGTGGGGAACCCTGATTTACAGCTATTGGTTAGAAATACAAATGACAACCTGGGGATTTGCAACTGAAATATGTGGGGGATGGGAGGAGGAGAGAGAAACCGTCTCATGGGATTGAGCCATTAGCCTGACTGACTCACCTATGCTAACTCCAGGTAGTATCAAAATTGAATTAAAGATACCCAGTCGATGTCAGAGAGTTAGAAAATTGGTTTGTAGATGGAACAACCCCCACATATTGATGTTAAAAGTGTTGTGAGTAAAGAAAAAGAAGTTTCCTTTTAGGTGGCAAGTAGGACTGGGGTAAAGAGAGAAACAAAAACTCAGAATAAACCTAACAAAACCTAGCAACATAGTGACAAGGATAAGAACACACAAGTAAATATACATCTGACTTGGGCAAATGGTGATATCAAAAAAGATAAGCAAGGCTGAGGGAGAACATGATGAGCTTAGTTTTTTTTTTTTTTTATAATAAATTTTATTTTTATATTCCCCATACAATTGCAACCCCCTAATTTTGACCCCAATCCCTCCCCTCCTGCCCCCTACCCCCCATAGAGTATCTTTGGTTCATAGTTTTTTGTTGATTTTGATTTTCAATTTCTCATAGTTATTCATTTTCCTGGTCCCTTATTTAAGTTTTCTAGATTCCTGCTATGAGTGAGACCATCCGGTATTTTTCTTTTTCTTTCTGGCTTATTTCGTTGAGCATGATCCCTTCCAGCGCCATCCATGTTGCTGCAAATTGCATGTGTTTATCTTTCTTTCTTTTTTTTTTTTTTTAATAAATTTTATTGTTATATTCCCCATACAATTGCAGCCCCCCCATTCTGACCCCAATCCCTCCCCTCCCACCCCCGCCCCCCTAAAAGTGTCTCTGGTTCATAGTTTTTTGTTGATTTTGATTTTCACTTTCTTATAGTTATTCATTTTCCTGGTCCCTTATTTAAGTTTTCTAGATTCCTGCTATGAGTGAGACCATCCGGTATTTTTCTTTTTCTTTTTGGCTTATTTCGCTGAGCATGATCCCTTCCAGCGCCATCCATGTTGCTGCAAATTGCATGTGTTTATCTTTTTTGAATGCTGAGTAATATTCCATGGTATATATGTACCACATCTTCTTGATCCAGTCATCTATTTTTGGGCATTTGGGTTGTTTCCAAAGCTTAGCTTTTGTAAACAGTGCTGCTATAAACATAGGGGTGCAGGTGTTCTTTGGAATTGATGTTTCTGTGTCCTTTGGGTAAATACCTAGGAGTGGAATTGCTGGATCATATGGAAGCTCTATGTTTAGTAGGTCCAGAACTCTCCATACAGCTTTCCACAGTGGTTGGACCAGTTTGCACTCCCACCAACAGTGCAGAAGAGTTCCTTTTTCTCCACACCCTCGCCAACATTTGTTGTTGGTAGTTTTTTTAATATGTGCCATTCTCACTGGTGTAAGATGGTATCTCATGGTAGTTTTGATTTGCATTTCCCTGATGACAAGTGATGTTGAACATTTTTTCATATGCCTGTTGGCCATTTGCATTTCCTCTTCAGAGAAGTTTCTTTTAAGCTCTTCTGCCCATTTTTTGACTGGATTATTTTCTTTGTTGTTGTTGAGTCTCATCAGCTCTTTGCATATTTTTGTGATCAGTCCTTTATCATTAGTGTTGGGTGCAAAAATGTTCTCCCAGTTGGTGGGGTTTCTCTTTGTTTTTGTTATTGTCTCTTTTGCTGTGCAAAAGCTCTTTAATTTGATGTAGTCCCAGCTGTTTATCTTTGCCTTCACTATCACTGCTTTGGGTGATGTGTCTGTAAAGATGTCTTTGATGTGCAAATCACGTAGTGTTTCGCCTATATTTCCTTCTATATATTTTATGGTTTCAGGTCTTATGTCTAGTTCTTTAATCCATTTTGAGTTGATTTTTGTGTATGGTGTGAGGTGGTGGTCAAGCTTCATTCTTTTGCATGTAGCGACCCAGTTTTCCCAGCACCATTTATTGAACAAACTTTCTTTGCTCCAATGCATATTCTTTGCTCCTTTGTCAAAGATTAGTTGACCATAAATCTGTGGGTTTATTTCTGGATTTTCTATTCGATTCCATTGGTCTGTATGTCTGTTCTTGTTCCAATACCATGCAGTTTTGATGATTATGGCTTTGTAGTATAGTTTGAAGTCTGGGAGTCTGATGCCTCCATTCCCTTCTTTTTTTTTCAGGAGAGCTTTGGCTATTCGGGGTTTTTGGTGATTCCATATGAATTTCATCAATAATTGTTCTATTTCTTTGAAGAATGACATTGAAATTTTGATTGGAATAGCATTGAATCTGTATATTGCTTTTGGTAGGATGGCCATTTTAATAATGTTTATTCTTCCAATCCATGAGCAGGGGATGTCTCTCCATTTCTTTGTGTCTTCTTCTATTTCTTTTAACAGTGTTTTATAGTTTTCTTTGTATAGGTCCTTTACCTCTTTTGTTAGATTTATTCCCAAATATTTGATTTTTTTTGTTTCAATAACAAAAGGGATGGTCTTTTTGATTTCTTCTTCTTCAGATTTATTGTTTGTGTATAGGAAGGCTACTGACTTTTGCGTGTTGATTTTGTATCCTGCCACTTTAGTTTTAAAATGCTGCATGAGGAACCTGACAGATGAACCAGGCCTACAATGTTCAATGGCTATTCAGGTCTGAAGCTGAAGTTATGAGAGCTAGGCTGAAGATACACACAACACTTGGGAGTCTTCAACACATAGACAGCAGCTACAATGGAGGCCCGACTATAAATGAGTTCACCTGAATGTACAGAGTTTAAGACAACAGGTAAGAATAGAAAATTCAATAATTTAAAGAACAGAGGGCTTAGAACCATAAAGAATGAGAAGTCATAAAAGTAGGGACAAAATCAAAAGAGAGAAAGCCCGAAAGAATTCACGGGGGAATGCCTCAGGGATAATGGTATAGTTACCTTGTCAAATATTGCCAGAGTCAAGTAACATTGGGGAAAAAAAACTAAGGGGACAAGTCATTGGACTTAATAAGAAGGTTGTTGATGGCTTTGGCAAGGGCAATCTCAGTAGACTGGCAGGCGTAAAAGTCAAACTAGTTGATGAGCCTTCTACCTTGTTGGAAGGTGAGCTGAATATAACACACTATCAAGAAATAATTAGGCTGTGAAGTAGAAGATACACATGGTGGGAGAAAAACATAAATGTGTTTTGTCTCAAAGTTCTTTTGCTTAAAGTGCTTATCTAAATCATCTGATGAAATCTGTGGAAAGACAGACACTTCATACACTGCTATGAAGAGCGTAAACTGTCAATCTTTTCAAACTCCAATAACATAGTATTTATAAAAAACAAATTCTAGATACCTTTTAACCAAGCAATCCTACATTCGCACATTCACTTTATAAATGTACGTTGTCTTTCTTAATGAAGTGTGTAGGGATTTGCAAAATAAACCTTGTTTTTATTAACAAAACATAGGAAAACAACCTGTGCATTCAAGGAGGATTAAATTATGGAAACATCCATGAAACGGAATATTCATTCCATAAATTGGCTCATAAAACTTTCAAAGTTTCAAAGTTTTCTCAAAGCTGTCAATAACATATCAAGGAAAAAAAAAAAGAGCGAGTTTAAGTTTGGTATCATTCATGCAAAAATCTTATAAAATGATCACAGCAAATCAAATCCTTTCTTTTAGAAAAAAGAATGCATCATAACCAGATGAATTTATTTTTGGAATGCAGTATTAATTAGTTCAACATCTGATTATCAGTCATCTATAATTTACAGCATTCTCCAGGGAGAAAAGTTTTATAAATGTAGAAAAAACATTAGATAAAATTAAGCATATATTTACATTTAAAACACTATAAAAGGGGCCTCCCCAGTGGTGCAGCGGTTGAGAGCTGGGTTGCGAAGCTGCCCGCAGCCGCTGCAGCACCAGTTTGATCCCCGGCCACTGGGCGAGGGTCCCACAAGGTGCGAAGACCTCTCCTGCCACGCCCACTGCTCCCCTCAGCAGTGTATTTCGTTAGTCTGCCTGTTCTGTTTCCTGCTCTGGCTCTGGTGAATTCTCTCACCCTCCCGTGCTTCTGACTGTACCCAGTGCTTGTATAAATAAATAAATAAATAAATAAATAAATAAATAAATAAATAAATAAAACACTATAAAAGGAAGCTTTCTCAATCTGATAAAGTGTACACTAAAATAATCAGAAATTAATCTAGTTAGCTTTATCAGATAATTAACTTGCATGTATCATGAAAAGACAGCATTATATCCAGACAGTATCCCAAAATTCAGGGAAGAACAAGTTTCCTTTGAAAGAAAGAGGAAGAAATGGCAATTCCATGAGAACTTACAATTCCCAAGAGTTGTAGAAACTTCACATTCTCATACATAAAATCAAAATAAGTTGGCATTTTGTTAGATAAAATAAATACTTAAATTAAGGAGTATATGTCAGAAACCTGCAATCCACATAATATTTAATGGTAAAATTTTTAACATTCCCTTTAGCTTTAGGCTCAGAAAATGACAAGCACATTGCTGTGAACACAACCAGTATTAATACAATTAAGATACATGGAAAGTATATAGGAAGTGTAAGGAATAAAATGTTAGAAACAAAACATCTGTCATTAAAGACAATTAAGGACTAAAACAAAATCCTAGAGAATTTTAAAACTGTAAGAATAAAAGTTTGAAAAGGCTGCTCAATATAAGATGAATATCCAAAATAACTTGACTGCATACCCCAGCATAAAAGAATTAGAATATATAATTTTAAAGAGAATCAAAATCTGCAATTAATACTCCAGGGGCAAAAAAATCTAATAAAAACTTGCCTAAAAACCTTTAAAGAGAAACTATCTAATTTTATTAGAATATATTTAAGAAGACCAAAAGAACAAGCTAAACTTAAATTTTATATGGAGAAAAAGTTCAAGAAAAAGATCAAGTATTTCATTATTTACAATGTTTTTAATGAAAAAAGAATGAAGAAAAAGGACAGTGAAAAAGAGGCAGCATGTGCAGACTGCTCAAGAAGTAGTCTGGTAAAGAACTTATTAAATAATGGGGTCAAAGTGTATAATTTTTCAAAGACCAAAGGCCATTAAATTTGCAGACAAAGGGAAATAAAGCCAAAAGCAAAGAATGAAGAAATGGTAAAGGAAAAATAAAAGTTAATAAAAGCTACTGTTTTAATCATGTTCTTCATACTTCTTAAGTTCTCTCAGGGTTAATATAGCTACATCTTAGAAAATTTGGAAAGAGATCCTTGAAAAAAGAAACGTAGATAGTTTAGTCTCTTTCCTTGGTAACATAAAAGGAGGGGAGATATCTTAAGCTCTATCAAGCACCCAGAAGTCTCATCTGGCTGGGTAAATTTCAGATAGTCCTATTGTATCATTTTGTATTATGTCTTACTACTGCTATCCCAAATACTTTTACTCCTCAGATAACCAGTAATAAGTGATATTTTTAAGCCTTACCTGAAGAACCTGGTCAACAGAGGCAACTGGATACAACATGATGAATAATGTGAAAACATACAAAATAATCACAGACACAACAAAAAAATCTGAAAAAGAAAAGAACAATTAAATTAAGTTCCTTTAAATAAAAAGTCATATCACAACAGCTGGCTACTGTTAATTCTAAATTTGATTCTGAATTCTTCTAATTTAGGTGATGATATATATAAATGTATGTGCTCTATTTAATTTCCTAAAGTATGACAGATCATTCAGGCTTCTGCAAAGGATCCATTTGTGATATGAAAATAATCAGCATTTGTAACAATAAGAGAGGTCTTTATGGAGATTTGTATTTTTCCCAATTGATAACTACTTTAAAAGGTTCTGAAACCAGTATGTAATCCACAAATAGGAGACTAGACTAAAACAGGTACCAAAAAAAGACTGTTTGACAAAATGAAACTACTATTTATAATATGTATACAAAGACAAGTATTGTTATAAAAATCCTCAGTAGGGCCTCCTTGGTAGTACAGGGGCTAAAGTTTCAGTGCTATCAAGCTATTGCCAGCCACTGCAAGATGGGTTAGATCCCTAGCCAGGAAACTAACCCACATGGTGCAGACATCTCCTGTGTTGCCCACTGCTCCCCTCAGCAGTGTATTTCAGTGGACCTGCCTATTCTGTTCCTCACTCTCTCTCTCTGGTGAGTCCTCTCAACCCCCACACCTCTGGTCCACACCCCAGTTCTTGTATGCAAAAATTTAAAAAAAAAAAAAATCTCTAAAAAAAATGCTGAGTAACATCTATTCTCAGAATTAAACTACATTATAACCTTAAATAGTCATTCTAAATTCAATGTAAGTATATTTTAAGTGAATCCTACTTTTTTCATTGACTTGCTCTGTGAAAACATTTGCACAGAAAATATTAGCTAAAAGTCAGAAACTGAGCTGATCTACTGTTTTAGAAGTGAATTAACCCTATGGATTGCTCTAATAACGAAGAATGAAAAATTCCATCCATAAAATTCCCTGCTGATGGCCATTTGTTAACTGTGTACATATATACACATGCATGTATACAAGCATACACTTCTTAATGAGTTAAAAGCTGCTCAGTTATTTCCCAATTACATAGTTCCCTTTTTTTAATTTACAGTTATTATTTGATGTTGGCTTTAAATTCAAACTTTAGTAACACTACATGTCACCAAAATCTCATCATGAACTCTTCGGATTGGACAAAGTGAATATCCATCCCACTTTATGAACTGTAAATGAAGAGTTCAATGCTATTTTTTTTTTTTAAGCTTTATTTTTTGTTTGCATAGAAGAGCTGGGGTGTAGGCCAGAGTTGTGGGGGTGAGAGGACTCACCAGAGACAGAGTGGGGAACAGAACAGGCAGATCTACTGAAACATACTGCTGAGGGGAGCAGCGGGAGAGACAGGAGAGGTCTGCTGTCCCAGGCGGGCCACCTCCCTGGCTGGTGATCAAACTCATGCTGCAGTGGCTGCTGATAGCTTGATAGCTGAGACTTTAACCCTGTTCCACCAGTGAGGCCCCCTCAATGCTATGTTTTTAATGTGAGGTCATCTGTAACTACAAATTTTGTTAGCATGTCAGTTCAAAACTACAAGTCAATGTTTATTGTTCAACAGAAACGATGTATTTTTTTATATATGAATGTGTTGTTTAGTGTATGTGTATGTATTATTAACAGACAGTTGGCTGGCCCTTCTACAGGTTCCATATCCATGAATTCAATAAATCACAGACTTTTTGAAATTATAAACTATGTAGGTAGGCCTACAATGGTTATACCTATACTAAACATGCACATTTTTCTTGTCAGTACTCATAAACAATATAGTGTAAATATTTGCATAGCAGTTACATTGTATTAGGTTTTATAAGTAATCTAGAGATGATTTAAAGTATTTAAAAAGGATATGCATAAGTTGTAATCAAATACTGTGCCACTTTATATACTGGACTTGAAACGGATCTGCCTTGGATACTGAGGAACAACTGTATATGTTTTTCTAGTAGCTTAAGCTACTAGAATGTTATACTAACATTCTTCACACAAAGTGGGGATATTTTTTATTATGAGCCATTCACCAACAGGATAAAAAATAACAACTGGGGCCCATGTTAGGTATAACTGAAAACAGGAACTATAAAGTTCTATTCAATAAATGCAACAATTAAATCACTACACAAGGTACAGAGTCATTCAAGTAGCTACTATGATCATTTAAAAGTGATGGTTGGAAATATGAAAACACACAAATGAAAAAGAATTAGTAAAAGGACAGAAAGAATTGGTAAAAATGTAAATACTAAAGAGACATATGGAGACAAAAATACAAAAGACAAAAGGGTTTGTTTCTATAAAGTAATAGCCCATATTGAATGTTTTCAAATCCTATTACATTTTTATCCTAGAAGCAAAAATAGATTTGCAATTTAGTTCCTGACACACTGCCAGAAAGAAAAATTTTACTCAGCCTCAAGAAACTTACATCTACCTTAGCAGTATTTCTTAAATTTTCATCTCTTTTCTACACTCATCCCATTTGATCACATCTCTAAAAATCTGCCAAGATTTCTGTAAGAAGAGAGAGAGTAAATAACTGAATTCTTCCTTTGTGTGGCCTGAGAAGGAAAAAAAGGCTTGAATACCAGGAATTTGACAGGAGAATAAAACTGCGAACAAAGTTACAGAACCACCAAAATGAAAAGATCAATAAAGATCTGAATTAAGAATGGAAAAATCTTAGACAATCCACTTCAGAGATGTATGAGTGTCTAGTAGACTATGTTTCAAGTCCTGGATTCTCCTGACATCTTTGGTGAGTCCTTGATAATTCTACTGAACTGCAAGTAATACACTTCACCAGACCACAACTATCAAAACAAATTCTATACTGGTGGTAATGAGGGAACAGGGGAATGCTCCTTAAAGATTTAAATTTTGTCACAAAGCTATACAAACATGAATAAGTCATTCAGAGTCAAATTATTTTAACTATAAAATGGGGATATAAGGACTCTGTAGAAAAGAGTAAAAATAGGTACTTGAAATGTAAAGCAATATGTATCTTCAAGTTATAATTAAATTGGTTCTAGTTTATGATAACAGATTTGTTAATGATACCAGATCCCTTTGAAGGAAAATGGCATCAAATTAAGGCAGTAAAGTATTTCTTTTGTATACCCCTTAGTAAGTGACTCAAAAATGAAACTTTGCTTAGAATCAATACACCCACAATACCTGTGTCTGGCACTTTCTTGTTCTTTGCACGAAAGTACTAACTGAGAGTGTCTGAATTATAACCACAATTTCTAGTCTTTTTATTCCTACCCTTTCTCCTTCCCTTACTCAAATACCTGTCTTTGAACAGCCATGTTATTTGCCTGGGCTTCTTGGTCTCTGTTCCAACCAATTCATGAAAGGCAGATGAGTACTAAAAAAGATACACAGGCCCACAGTGGGAGAAATACTAGCAGTTCAGTCTTCTTAGACTGAGAAAGGACTTGGACTTCACAGGAAGTAAACACAGGGATCAAGTAAGAAACTGTAACAAAACTGAAGCTAAATCCCAAGAAATCACATCTAGCTAAGAGAGACTGTAATAATTAAGCTCATAGCATCAAAGTCCTCAGAATGACAACACAGGCAAAAGAGAAATACAGCTGGGTCAAAAACTAAAGTTGAAAATGGCAACTGTACACTGTAATAAGACTTTATTTAGAATCAAAATGAATTATTAGAGAGTAAAAAAACCTGTAAAGAATGCCATAAATGTCTAAAACTGACATAATTTCTAAAAATAATCTCATGATAGTTTTAAAATATTGTATAATTTTACCTTTTAGATATAATTAGCAACAGCAGTTCTTAACACACTAATTGTCTATATTGTAGGAGAAAATGAAAGTTAGCTGTAGTAAAGCCTTAACCTTTCCACATTCATAATCACCTATATTTATACTTTATATTATATACTATTTCATATATTTATTCTTTATTTCTGTCATTTCTTATTTTCTTTTCCATTTTTTTCTTTACTCATCAGTAACAATATTCCAATGTTAGGGAACTCCAATAATAGACAAATAGAAAAGATGAGAAAATTAGTAAAATGTGTACAAAAAATTTATTGTTTCTACTATATGGGGGAGCATGTTTTGACAGTATGAACTCCCGTTTAGCCTTTAATTTTAAAAAAATTTTCCAGGGTCTCCCCTGGTGGTGCTGTGGTTGAGCGCTGGGGTGCAAAGCTGCCCGCAGCCTCTGCAGCACCGGTTCGATCCCCGGCCATTGGCAAGGGTCCCACATGGCGCACAGACCTCTCCTGCCGCCCGCTGCTCCCCTCAGCAGTGTACTTCGGTCCTTCTGCCTGTTCTGCTCCCCGCTCTGGTTCTAGTGAATTCTCGCACCCTCCCGTGCTTCTGACTGTACCCGCTGCTCGTATAAATAAATAAATCTTTAAAAAAAAAAAAGAGAAGCAAGGTGGAAATCATAATAAATGCCAAACTTACAATTCTTGTAGCAAGGCTGCCTGAAGGGTTTTCCTTTTGAAAAGGCAATTGCCACTATGAGGTACTGAAAACTGGAGATAAAAAACACTGTAGTATTTTCATAATTTTGTATATTATGTGTATCAATTTCAGTTTCATTGTATAAATGTGAAGAATTCCAATATAGGCTTCTTGTTGTATCACAAGCACTAAAACACACAAAAAGTTGAGTATTACTAACAAAATATCAATTTCCCCGAAAGAAATCAATTTTACCTCAACTGCCTTAAATCACTATAATAACATAAATAGAAATGAGGTACTAATTACAACAAAAGATCCAACAATATCAAGGTAAGATATATAGAATAAGAGCATTAGAAGGTTTTCTTTAGTCAGACATTCTAATCAGTAAAAAATCAGAGGCAATGAACTTCTTTAATTAATAATCCTGCCCTCGCTTTTAATATACCTCTTCCTTTTTTTAAATTTGGGGCACAATTTTTGCATAATAAATGTAAACAGACCTTGGTTTTGATCTCAGCTCTACCACTCTTTAGTTATAACTGAGGAAATACTTATTTTTGAGCCCATTTACTATGGGGAACAAGTAAGACAAGTTGTGTTAATGCTGAGCAAAGCATTTAGCACTGAGATGGCTTCAGTACTCTCTTATCTATGCCTATCTCTTATTTCCACTTCCAGAAGGGCAGGACTATCACAGACACATTATCCATTACTAAAACATAAACCACAATATACATAGGAAAATGGTAACAAAATGTTAATGTACCACAAAGTGAACTATGGAAAGATTTTTGAGAATAATCCCATCTACTCTTTTTCATGTGCAATATTTATATGGACATATAACAGCAATGTTAAATTTAAGTTTTCTAAAACTTTTAAAGACAAATAATCTCCCTCAATCAAATGAACATAAAAAAAATGTTTGTATCATTTCCTAAAGTGGGAGTAGAAAAGTTAAAAGCGCAAATATTCTGTGTTTAGAAGAGGCCCTGGTTGATTCATTTTAACTTTTTCATTTTACAGATCAGGAAGGCACATTAGCAAATTAAGAAACAGGTTCAATGTCATCATGTTGGTAGCTGTTATTAACTAGGACCTAGCCTATCCCACAGATATAGTTAACGTGATAATAGTGAATACAAGCCAAATTATTTAAGGGTTTAATCAAGTTGTATACAAACTTCTATATAAATTTTTACTAATGATTACATGCATGTATATTGCACACATTTATTTTTCATTGTTTGACCAACTTACTCTGAATGTGGATGCCATACTTCATACCAAGATTGCTGCTTTACCCAAAAAAATCCGAAAGATTGAAATCCAATGCAAATGATGATCTGAGACAAAACGGAGAAGAGAAGGGCCCCAGATATTAGACCTGAAGGTGGTCTTTGAGCCACAAGTTCCTTCCAGGCAGGATTTAAACTCACTATATTGAGAAAAACAAAAGTATTGTATTTATATTAATTTGTCACTACAAAAGACACTATTAAAGGCATTTAGGAACTTAAAAAAAGTGTTGATTAATTTTTAATTCAAAATTGTCCAAAAACCAAGCCAGAAATATAGATATTTCAATAATCTGTCAAACAATTAGGCTATTTCCAAAAAGCCCCAATATTTTTGCATTGATCTACTGAAGTTCAGAGGAAATTTTAGTACAAGTAAAAAGAATACTAGATATATGCACATAAACTTAAGATTAATCACCATGGTATGTTTAAAAAGTTACTTCTGAATCTTCAACTGCAAATTTACAGTTAAAATATGTACTGCTTCCTTTTTTTTTTTTTTTTTTAAATAGAGGCATGTTTTATTTATTTATTTATTTGTTCGTTTGTTTATACATGTACTGAGTACAGTCAGAAGCGCGGGAGGGTGAGAGAATTCACCAGAGCCAGAACGGGGAGCAGAGCAGGCGGAAGGACCGAAGTACACTGCTGAGGGGAGCAGCGGGCGGCAGGAGAGGTCTGCGCGCCATGCGGGACCCTCCTCCGGTGGCCGGGGAGGAGCTGGGAATCGAACCGGCGCTGCAGAGGCTGCGGGCAGCTTTGCAACCCAGCGCTCAACCGCTGTGCCACCGGGGAGGCCCTGTACTGCTTCCTTTTAACAAGATATTAGTAAAGGTTTGAAGCAACAGAAACATAGCAGTAATATTGAAAAAAAGTGTTGGCCATTTATTAAAATAGTGCCTACCAATTTCTTCACTGTTTCCTTTGTCTCTCTGTAATCATGTTACTTTGTTAAAAGATACTGAAACTGTGTAAAAATACTGCTCCTCATTTAACTTTTATTCATTAGCTTAAGCTAACTCATTGATTAAATTATTAATTGGTGAAATTAATAGCTAACTCATAAGTTAGACAACTAGGATTGCCCTCTCTTGCCCCTCACCCAATTTGGTGAAATCAAATCTCTTTGCCCCACACCCAATTTGATTTTGGTGAAATCATTTTTTGGTTATCATAACTGGGATAGTGTTACTGACATCCAGTGGATAAGGCCACAGAGCATCCCACAATGTAGAGAACATCTCCCTACCACTAACAACAAATAATTATCTGGCTTCAAATGTCAATAAGACCAAGGTACCTCCATGGTCTAAATCCATCATTTCTTCTATATATATTATTTAGCATTTTACTGTAAAAAAGAGCTTTCTCTTCTCCAATTATTTACTGATTTCCAGTGTGAACTTGTGAATTTTTATGGCTCCCATCCCATCATCATCATTATTTATTTTGATGTCAACATCACCAATACTGGAACACACTATTATCTTGTGTTTCCTTACACAATGCAGCCAGATGCTATAGAGTCACTTTTGTGAGAGTCCTGCCAAGAATTCAGAGCTTGAATTCAGTAAAATTCACCAAACACTCAGAACTATTTATCTCTCATAAATAGCAAAGTCATGAAGCTCAAAAGGCTGATGTATTATTGTAGTTTAAAGGAAACTAAAAAGGGGACTCCCTAGTGGCACAGGGGTTAAGCACAGCACTATGAAGCTATCCAAAGCCTCTGCAGCATGAGTTCGAACCCCAGCCAGCTAGGGAGCTACCCACATGGCGCAGCAGACCTCTCCTAACTCACCTGCTGCTCCCCTCAACAGTGTATTTCAGTAAATCCACCTGTTCTATTCCCCACTCTGTCTCTGGTGAATCCTCTCACCCTCCGCACCTCTGGCCTGTACCCCAGTTCTTGTATGCCTAAATAAATAAATCTTTAAAAAAAATTTTTTTAAAAATAAAGGAAACTGGGCCTCCCCTGGTGTGCAGCGGTTGAACACTAGGCTGCAAAGCTGCCTGCAGCCTCTGCAGCACCGGTTCAATCCCCGGCTGCTGGCGAGGGTCCCACATGGCACAACAGACCTCTCCTGCCATGCCCACTGCTCCCCTTAGCAGTGTATTTTGTTGGTCTGCCTGTTTTGTTCCCCGCTTTGGCTCTGGTGAATTCTCTTACCCTCCCGTGCTTCTGACTATACCCAGTGCTTGTATAAATAAATAAAATAAATCTTTAAAATAAATAAAGGAAACTAAAAAGGCGAAAGCTAACTAAATGAAAATTATGAGTGTACATTAGATCCTGCACTAGGAAACTAGGGGAAAAATATGTATGAAGGATGATATTAAGACAAAACTTGAATATGGGCTATGGATTAGATACCTAATAAATTTCTTCATCTATGTAACTGTGTTTAATTATGTAAAAGAATGGTCATTTTTTTAAAGCAAAACATGAAAATATTCAGAGGCATAAATGAAATTATTCTTAAATATTTCAAGGAAAAAACTGAGAAAGAATAACAAAAGAAATGGGGCCAAATATAAACAACTGGATAAAGAACACAGTTACAGGGAATCTGGAGATGCATGCACTGCGTTACAATTGTTGATATAAATTTATCAGAGTTTAATAAATCACATCAGAATTTTATATGCTTTGAAATAATAAACAACAAAAAAACCACTCACTTGTAAATACCACTACCAAAATGATTGCCAAATCAATGAAGAGAAACTGGAAGTCTCCAAGATTGCTTAGGATCTGCAGAAGTAATTTTTAAAATTAGTAGGTTTTTAGGAACTATCTGACCCCCAATAATGACAGCTTCAAAATGAGACATTTGGACATGCAAGTTTTTTGACAAGAGGAAACAAACCTTTACTCACAATATTCAATATTCTTGAAAATTAGTATTTTGAAGTTTCCTTAATAGCTAACATCATTCCTCCTGTTTCTTTCTATAAATGTTAAAAGTGGACAGTTTAACAAATACTCCTTGGGATGTTACCAATGGTCATTTAGAGAAAAACCTAAAGTTACATCACTTTGATCATAAAATCCAAAGGAGTACCCATGAACACCACTGTTTATGTTTTTTCTCCAAATGCATAATGTGCTACAAGCTATTATGGAAACATCTCTTCTTACTCTGGACTTTCCCTATGATATTTCGAAGAGTTCTGTAATGCCCAATCTGTTAAAGGCAAAAGTGAATACAATCATCTTTTAAACTCACAAGGCTTTACTGCTTTACCCATAGTTGTTAGCATTAAGTAAAATGCTATTTCATATTACTGAGATTTTCAATCTGCTCCTCAAAATAGAGTAAACTAAAGGGAAATTTACAGATACTATTTATGTAAATTTTGTAATTAATGGATGCACTTAAAATCAAATCTGCATACTCAGTATCTTAATTTAAATGTCATAAAACTAAGTGCCATCTCTGTAAGTAATGTCAGTACTCACCGAATACAGTAGAGTAACACTGAAGTACTGTATAATGCTGTATAAAGCCATAAATTTAAACACACAGAAGGAAGTCATTAGAGCAGCACGGCCTTCCCTGTGAAAATAAATGTTGACATGTCAATAAAATCATTTTAAACTCCTCCTTCAAACCACAATTCTATCTTAACAGATAAACACCAACAATAAATAACTATAACAAAGTACTTTTCTACCAAGAGAGGAGCAGCAGCAATCCACTTGCTACTAATAAGTTACAGATCCAATATACTAATGTACCACTAAACAAATTCCTATCACCTGTGATTTTCTTTTCTATATTATTAGAGCATGTACAAAGAGGTAATATGAAAATTTTCAATTTTTAGTACCTGATAAGATTTGGCACACAGGAAATACTAGGTGTTTTGGAGGTAAAGGGAGATGCTACTGAAGCTTCAAGCTCTGACAGGGAAATGCCTCCATGTGCCCTCTTCAAAGCCTAATGGTTTTAAGAAAAAATTGTTTTAAATTTTGTGAATGTGACTTACGCTAGCAAAAGAACTATAAACCACAAAAAGTATACTTACACCACAATCATTTGCACCATCACCACACATCCCAACAAAGTAACTAAAACAAAAATTTTGTTAAGATTTGATTAATTTCTTCAAACACTCAACATGTAAGCTTTTTCCAATACAGTATTATGAAAAGCAAATTTCTACCAGGTCACTAATATATCCATCCATTACAATTACCACTGGACATACTGTTTTGCAAATAGCACCAGCCTGCAAAATGAAATGCCCCAGGTATGTTTCTATCATAAGATAGGTCAATGAGTTTATCATTTTGGCATCTCAATTTCCTAATCTTTAGAAAAAAGGAGTTGGGCCAGTGTCATCTGTAGTGTGCTTCTTTTTAAGGCTATAAGACAAGATTTCTCCTTTAAAAACTTAAAACAATACAACTATAAACAATAAAAACTAAAACTATAAAGTCACTCCTATCAAACTGAGTGAATGACTTCCACCTCATAGATAGTATCTGGAAAAAGAACTGTGGATACAGTACTGTAGAAATAATGATGGAATACATGAGCCTAACTCAAAGGCTAGTTATCACCAATCTTAAAGATGACAATTTTATATGTTTAAATTATTTATTGGGTTTGAAAATTAAACAATAATTCATGAAAAGTGAAAACAACAACAAACCACTTGTACTTACTCTACATTTTGCAATGCTTCCACTAATTGTGTCTTCTGATCAGGTGCCATACGGGCAAACACAGTGCCATGCAACATCAACTAGAAAAAATATGACTTATTTAAAATACTGTTAACAATGTATTCATTTAGACACATACATAAACCCAAACCACTAACCTTAGGAACAAGGTCTTGAAAATGCTCCAGTATCACTGAAAATGATTTTCCATTCATTGCAAAATGATAACGAGTTACCTGAAGATCCTCTAAGCTATCATGGACCATTTTAATAGGAATAGCCTGTATATAAGACATACACAATATTTAGATAGTTAAACTAAGTAACACAATTCTGTTTTAAATACACTTGAGACAAAACTGAATTCTTTCATTTGCAAAGTTTAACACTTATTGGAAGAGGAAATTGAACTTAAGGTAATCTATCTATAAATTTTATTTTTTAAAAACTTAAGTGAGATGCCTCCCTAGTAGCCTAGGGGTTAAGTCTCAGCACTATCACTGCTATGGCCTGAGTTCGATCCCCGGCCAGGGAGCTGACCCATGTATGACATAGCAGACCTCTCCTGTCTCATTCATTGCTCCCCTTAGCATTGTATTTCAGTCAATCCACCTATTATGCTCCCCACTATGTCTCTGGTAAATCTTCCTCTTCACTCCTCCTTCTTCCCCCAAACCTCTGGCCTACATTACAGGTCTAACAAAAATAAAAAAATTAAGTGAGGCTAAGTACTAGTTTCAACTTGAAATGCTCTATTAAATGAACATTATGTACCACCTGTATCATTTGCCATCATCTTAAAAACAGGATAAAAGTTTGTTTTCTTATCCTTTTGAACTGTGCTTCTGGATTTACCTCAGTCTTAATGAATCAAGTTCCAGAACAGATAGCACAGGCTTATGTTTCCAGGTTCTTTTATTTTGTTGTATTTTAATGCAAAGCTTGTCATTTTCAGACTAGAGCCAAACAAGCTTCAAAAGGGAAAATTCATCATGACATTACCTCCGAATCAATTGCTGATGAATTACTGCACTGTGCTACGGTGTCTGCATAATGCCAATTTATCTTGGCAACTTTCCCATCCTTTGGAGGTAATGCTTCAGCAATAATAACTTTATCTTGAGGTAGTATCATTCCACAGTCTCTAGCCACAGAGACAGCAGTCAACATGTTGTCACCTAATTTTTAAAATAATGAAAATATATTAAAAATTAAAAAGGAAACGTGAATGTAATAAAATAACAAGTACCTATTGAGACTCTACTACATGAATGGGCTAGACAAATGAAGGTAATATATTGTTCTTGCTCTTGAGCTTAACAAAATCAGAACACACTTATCAAAGGAAGCCTCGAATAATTCAAGCACACAGATGCGAAACAGAATAGTCTCACTCATAATTTTAAAAATCAAATACAGGGGCTTCCCTGGTGGTGTATGGGTTAAAGACACAGCACTATTAAGTTATCACCAGCCACTGCGCCATGAGTTGGATCCCTGGCCAGAAGAGCTATAACCCACATGGTGCAGCAGACCTCTCCTGTCTTTCCCGCTGTTCCCCTCAGCAGAGTATTTCAGTAGATCTGCCTGTTCTGCCCCTCACTCTATCTCTGGTGAATCTTCTCACCCCCATACCTCTGGCCCACACCCCAGCTCTTATTTGTACAAATAAATAAATCTTTAAAAATAAATTTAAAAAAATAAATAAATACATTAACTTGTGTTGTGCACTAATTGTACCCACTTGATGCCTGGCACAGTGCTATATACAGAGTAGGTTATCTGTTGAAATAACCTAGTAGTGACTGGTGATCTATACAAGATTACTAGAGCATTATCACATATACACAGTGAAATACAAAAGATTACATAAAACAATAGGCAAGGTAACAAGAATACAATCTTTACAAGATTTAAAGAGAAGCAAGAAAGACAACTTTCGTCATGAGAAAAAGAGCTGATGAAAAGCATTGTAAGGACAGAATCAATAGGAAAAAAACTTATGCTAGAAGGAAACAAAAGCTTGGAGACCACTGCTATTAAAACTGAAGGGCAATGTTACTTTATCCCCCAATCCTCACACACTATTTCCATGGGTACCTTCCTGTGACCAGACAGCCCTATTACAGACCCAAAGTCATAATCTGTCATGGCATAGAAAGATGGAGAAGAGATATGCAGATGAAACAATTTTGAAGAAATAGTGAGAAATAAGAATTACAGGGATGCTAATATACTTAGTTATTTGAGCTATATGGTAATAAGTATGCTATAAGATGGATCTCAAGAGTTTGAAACAGAAAAATATACACGGGCTTTTTCTACATAAGTCTTAATGAACACATAAATGTCACAAAGTATCCTAAATCTGATTATTTGCTAAGAAAAAAACAAGCAGAGCTACCACAATTTTAACACAACTAAGGAATGGCAATTATCTGATATTACAACAGTATACCACCACCAAGAAAATCATTCAGATGAAAGAATTAAAACAAATGGTTATTTTCACTATTATGTATTCAAGCAATGCTAATAAGTATACTATCATATATAAAAGTGTAACCCTTACAAATATCTAGTAACTATGTTCCATGCATCTGGCACAGTTCTAAAAATTGTAGATTATCCAAAAATGGGTAACTCTTAACCCTCAAAAATCTTATATTCTAGTAGAGAAAAAGAGACTTACAAATAATTAACTATTTATGACACTATTTTATGACACTCTATATAAATAGTATTTGCTACATCTCAAGAGAGTAGTAAGGTTATCTTATACCTTGGAAAAGTATTCTGAGCTAATACAGAGCAATGTAGGATCAAGCCATTATATAATAACTTTTACAACTTACTGATTCTCATTATTCTATAATTTGAACGCTAAATCACACTCAATATTTTTTGTATCCATTCATAAAATCTAACCTGTGACCATGACAGTGCGAATGTTGGCTTTATGCAAATCTTCAAGTACTGCAGGGGTTTCTTGCTTTAATTTGTTCTGCATTATAATTAATCCCATAAAATCCATGTTGTTTTCAATGGCATCTCTACAGAAAAAAAAATTATTAACACGTGATGCTCAGTGAAGAAAACAGGTATTGTTTGCTATGTCGATAAAGCAATTTAAAGAGGCTATAAATTTTAAAATAAAACACTACTAGCTCAATAAACTATTGATTTTGTTTGATTTGTTTGATTTCAATACCCAAAAAATTTGTTTGATTTCAATACCCAAAAAATTTAAATATGGAAAAACAATTTCCAAGAAATAAGTTTTGAAATAAACTTTTATCCTTTGAAACATGGGACTACAAGGATCATTTGGAAATATGTCTTTGTCAGACAGTAAAAACTTCTAGTAGTCATCTTGTAAACTATCCACAAAATGAAGAAGCATAATTAAGTTTATTCTTTAGACTGTCCCCAAAACATAGTCTAATTTACATCTTACAGGGGAAAAACTGTAGTACAAGTCCTTTTGATATAACTATACTCTATTATGGCCTCCTCTGGTGGCGCAGCGGTTGAATGCTGGGCTGCGAGGCTGCCCGCAGCCTCTGCAGCTCCGGCTCGATTCCCAGCCGCCAGCGAGGGTACCACATGGCGCGCAGACATCTCCTGATGCGCCTGCTGCTCCCCTCAGCAGTGTATTTTGTCGGTCTGCCTGTTCTGTTTCCTGCTCTGTCTCTGGTGAATTCTCTCACCCTCCCACACTTCTGACTGTACCCAGTGCTTGTATAAATAAATAAATCTTTAAAAAAAAAAACTTATTTTATTTATCAAGTCTGATGAATTTTATAAAACTCTTGATCCTGGAAGTATGATACAAAAACTGTTGGCAAGTTTGAAAATGAGATCCACTTGGGACCCAGATATGGGTCTTTTAGACTATTTTTCAATATTCAACAGTTACCAAGATGCTATTCCTTGAAAGAGTTTCATATCTACTATGCACCAAGTATGGTACTAGTAACTAGGAGGTCAAAAGCAAATACTCTCATGATGTTTTTGTGGGGAAACAGACATGTAAGCAAAGAGATGCAGGAAAAAATATGTGCTTCGGCACTATAATGGGACTAGAAAGTCTACTCAGTGATAGCTACATTCTTAAGAAATTTCAAGTTACTAAAATACTATCAAATAAATATTTTTGCCAACAGAAAAAAGTGTGAGGTTAAGGACCAAAATTTCAGACTTGCACCAACCAAGTGGTTTTTCTACCCAAAAATTGTGTAAGAAAGTACTTGAAGCACACAGCAATGAAAACTAAACATCTTTGAAATACTAAGTTTAACAATGGTAAACTTAACAATGTTGGTAAGGATATTAGGAAATAGTTATGAAACAATACAAGTGACACTGCTAGTGGGATAAAGAAAAACAAGCTCTGAAATCTAAAAAAGCATTTTAAAGCATAAAGCTGTATCAATGTGAATCTATTGACTCAGAAGCACTGCAGTAGTTCTCCTGAGGTACTAGTTTCTGCTTGCAGGTGTTTCTGCTTCCTAACCCTATGAATGATAAAAGCATTGAAAATCTTACCTTCTAATGAGAAAAACAATAGTCAACTTAAATCTAAGAAATATGTCAAAACCTATTCCTATTGAAAAAATAACAAAAAAAAAAAAAAAGCCCTATTCCTATAAGTACAATGAAACACAGAGACAGTCTTGGTTCAAAGATGAGGAAAAAAAGGGATAAAGATAAAGAGAAGGAGACAGGGAGGGACAGAGCATTCTGGGCAGAGGGAAGAGCCTATACAAGGCATCGAGGATGTCGACATATGACAGGCTCAAGAACTATAGACATTTCAAGAGTTAGTTACACTTTATTGGAGGGAAATGGCAAAAGATGAAGATCTAGAGAAAGGAGAGCCTAATGTGCCTTTCATAGGAATTAGGATATAGTATTTATTTTATATCTTTGGCTCCCAACCATACATATGCATTAGCTTACTTGGTTATCACTTTTTTTCCCAAAATGTTAATGCTTAGACCACAGCCCCCAAAGATTCTGTTTTAATAAGTAGAATTCCTAATGTAGTTTTTCCTACATTTCCTTTCAGTTATTATGCACTTCACTTCTTTAGTTCTCATTCAGAAAAACAGAACTGTACTAAAATACTGCCTACCTTTCTCACTTAATGTAGCTGGAATAATTAACGTAATTATTAATAGCCTGTAATTTAACCTCTGACCTGTTGATGAGTATTATGATACTTACACTATTTAAACATGAACCTTATCTACATGTAGAAATGTTTCTTTTTTTTTTTTTTTTTTTTTTAGATTTATTTATCTATACAAGTACTCGGCATAGTCAGAAGCATGGGAGGGTAAGAGGATTCACCAGAGCCAGAGCGGGGAGCAGAGCAGGCAGAGGGACCGAAGTACACCGCTGAGGGGAGCAGAGGGCGGCAGGAGAGGTCTGTGCACCATGTGGGACCCTCCTCCAGTGGTTGGGGAGCAGCCGGGGATCAAACCTGCGCCACAGAGGCTGCGGGCAGCTTCGCAACCCAGCGTTCAACCGCTGCGCCACCGGGGAGGCCCTAGAAATGTTTCTTTAGGCTGGATTCCTAGAACGGGACTTTGCTGGGTTAAACTGTATAAGCAAATTTAAACTGTGATGGATACTATGCATATTCTTTACAAATATACATTAGTGTAATAGCAATATGTATTCAAACTTTTTCAAATCTTTGCTAACACTTGCCATTATCAATCTTTCATATTTTAGCAACCTTAGGAGAAAAGCAGCATGTTGTGGTTTTATTTTATAGCTCCCCAAGAACTGAATTATCTATCATTTTCATGTTGCATCAGTCATTTGCATGTCTTTTTTTGATATTTATCTGTTTGTATTATTTGCCTCTCCCCTTTTTAAATTAAGTATGTGTGTGTTAATTTTTTTTGTTGTTCCTTTCTTGATATATGCTCCTGATTATGAACTCCTAGTAGGAGGCTAACAAGGGACACACATTACAGTGAGGAAAGACAGGAGAAAAAAGCTGACTCTCTGAATAAAAGACCATGGCAGAAGGGAAGGAGAAAGAAGTTATTTGACAGAATTAGCAGAACAATTAATGACTATTCTTTTCACTTACAAAATGCTAATTACACCAGGAAATATGAAACAAAACTGTTATCCTCAAAGGGTAAGTCTAGACCAGTTACAATAAAAGTGACAATCCTTACATGTGAAATCCATGTATATACATAAATAAATGTAATACTGGTAGTATCATTTGCCTGATGGTAGGGGGTAGGGTGGGAGTGGGGTGAAAATTAGTTATATTAGTTATGTGACTTACATGCAAATTAGCACTTGGTTCCAACCACTATTCAAAAACAAGGATAGCATCAGGGGAAGATTATCTTCTATAAATTATATTACTAAAACATAAGCATGCCTGGCACATAGCATGCACTCAATAAATACTTAGCAATTATAATTAAAAGTAGTTCCTAAAAGCTGTTCTTTATTTTTATCTCAATCACCTAAAACAAACGTATTGTATCTATTTGCACACATTCAATATTTAATATATACACAACTACAATTTATCTTATGTCACTAACATAAAGATAAATGATTCATTATTGTAAAAACTATACAAAAAGTTTACCAAGCTTACCTGCTAACATTCTGTACTTTATGCCATGTCAGTTTTGACTCCAATTTTCTGTGTGCAAGAGCAATTACACGGAAGCCCTGTTTAGTGTAATCTTCTAAAACTTTTTCAAAATCAACAGGAACTTTTTTAAAAAGAAAAAAATGTGTCACTGTTAAAACTACTAGTATAGGCTTACACAAATACCAGAATTTTGTTCACAGCCCAATTGTTTCCTTACCTGTTTCAGGTTTACAAAGACTGGCAATGACCTCAGGTGCTCCTTTCATGTAGGCATCCATTTTCTTATCCCCTAGCACCCTTGCAACCACGCTCATACGTTGCAAGGCAGAAGAAAATGGGAACTGGCGAACAATTCCTATCTCATAAATAGCCTATATAATTTCAAAAGAAGCACAAAGCATTTATTTATCGCTTAAGAATTGAAACAAATATGTATAATAAGTAAACATTCTTCACTTACTGGAAGTTCAAACAGCTCCTAAAAACAAAAAAAGAGTACAGATTAAGTTCATAACATACTCAAAAAAATAAACTATCCATAAAACATGTGGGAAATAGCAGCGAACTCTGACTATTTCAAGTCAGGTTTCAAGATCACTTCTCTACCATCTCTTATTTATTAAAAATATACCTTGAATATTTTCAAATATTCTGTTATCCTAAAGATATTAACAGTAAGTGCTTAAATAAACTAAGGGAATGCATTTAAACATCTGCCTGAATGTAAAACCTTTTACACATTCTTTTTATTAAATTTTAGAAATGTAGATGCAAAGGTGAAAAGGATTAATCACCAGGCACTAAGCTGCATTGTAAACAGGAAGAAAAAGTAAAAGGACTATGAAGTAAATCTCAGTGTTTTCTTTAAAAAAAAAAAAAAAAAAAATGCCTGCAACATACCAGGTTTAGTTTCTTTTAAATGCAGTTAAAATTTCATAAAGGAAACACGATTTCATTTTCTACTAACATTCCACACTAAAGATTAAATGTGAGCAACAGTATTATGTAGTTTAAAGCAATTTCCTACCATTTCTTGGTTTCCTGCAGGTACAGATTCAGGAAGCAGTTGTTTTGGAGGACGAACTACAGTGGGCATAATTCGATTATGAAGTGCTGTTTCTTCTTCAGTTGCTTCTTCCAAAATCTGAAAGGAAAATATTCAACATGTGCTTCATAAAATTCAATTCACTGGTTACATCTTTAAATCAAACATTATGACTATTTTCAGTTAAGTAAAACAAAAGTGGCCAAGAAGCAAATGAGCATTACTACATCATTAAATAAATATATATATATATATATATATATATGTGTGTGTGTGTGTGTGTGTGTGTTCAAAGTTCCAGCAACCCATTTGAAGAGAAGAGGCAGAGTACAGAATAAATAAAAACTTTTCTAATTTTTATACTGTTGACTGTAGACACTACTTCTACAACAAAACATAAGGTTTTTGTAGTTCAAAACTTTTCAGTCTATCATATAGGGGTTCCATTGTGCTAATAGGAAAGGATTCTATTGCATGGAGCTCAGTTATGGATAACAGAACTACTAAGTCAAGAACATACTTGGGTCCAATGATGTGTTACTGTTTTAGCCTAACACACACTGAGTTAGATACCATGACTCTAATACCCCTTAAAATTTATTTTTAAAACTCTTAGGGTGAAAAAAATTCAAAAGAGAAAGTGTATTAAGTACATATTCATGGCAAACAATAAACAAATTTGACTCTATTATAACTGGATGAATCAATGGAGAAATGACAGGGAAAGGAACTGCTTCCAAGTAGCCAAATTTTATACAACTCTAAATTATAGAACTCTAAAACTCATTTTAATAGGTCTGAAGTTGGGGTGTATCTTAGGGCATCAATGACATTAAACAGCAGTTACGTGGAAACACTCTCAAGCATCAAGGCATCGAAAGATCTACAAAACATGCTACCACATAAACTTATTCATTTTTTAAAAATACACTAACATATTGGGCCTGCCTGGTGGCACAGGGGTTAAGTCTCAGCACTATCAAGCTACTGCCAGACACTGTGGCATGAGTTCGATCCCCAGCCAGGGAGCTGACCCACATGGCTCAGCAGACCTCTCCTGTCTGCCTGCTGCTCCCCTCAGCAGTGTATTTCAGTAGATCTACCTGTTCTGCTCCCCCACCCTATCTTTGGTGAATCCTCTCACCCCACTCCAGGGCCTGCACCCCAGTTCTTATATGCATAAATAAAAATAAGTATTTTTTAAAATCCACTAACATAATACTTAATCTACTGAAAAGCTATTCCTTTGGAGAGAAACTTTAGAGAACATCAAAGATAAAATCAGCCATATTTTGCTTTACTCTTTATAAATGAAGTGTGTCTCTTTTAGGAAATTAAAGTTGATGAGTGTTTGTTATGAGCTTTCAGAAGGTAACAAAGCATATGTTCACTCATTCATCTCCCTCCCTTTCAAAATATTAACAAAATGCCAAAAAAGGAAAAAACCTGTAAAAGTAAACAGAAAGGAAAGCAGGGGAAGAAGATTTCAAAATAGAAAGGTAAACTGAAACATACTGATGGGTATGGCAGCGATGGAAACAGTGACCCAGAATAAACATAACAGAACGTAGAGTAAAGATAAGAACATTTTTTTATAGCCAGAATAGCTGAATTAAGAAAAAAGTGAAAAAATGAATCAATTAGTGTCACTCATGAGAATATGAAACGCCTACCTTAAAGGAAGGGCTGTTAATATGAGGGAGGGCTACTGTTCGAAAGTAAGTTCTGCCTCTGCAGTATTGTGGGAGTGAGAGGAAAGCAACCTGAAGACTAATTCTGCTCCTCTAAAACTGAATAATATCTGCTAATGAGTGGTCCACCCACCTCCCAGCAGCCCCAAGACACCACAACCACAAACTCCTTCTAATTAGCCCCTCCATTCAGGGAAAAACTTCAGGAAAACAGACCAACCCATATATGGGAAAGGACAAAACACCTTACTCAGGTAGCCAGAATCATCAAAACAGACCCTCTTTTCTTCAACCACTAAAACGTATACTGTATAATGGCATGTATACAATGTATAATAACTAATGGTAATGAAAATGTATAACAAAACCAAAAGCACGGAAAGAGAAAGATTTAAATGTTGGGGGGGGGGGGAGAAAAGCAAACCCAGAGAAAATAAACAGTTCAGAAGCCAGAAGGAACCTTATAAACTTACTATATCTATAAAGAACTAAATGCTATAAAATAGTAATAACAAGCAATCAAAAGCAAGCACTAAGAAAACAATCAATGGTAAAATAAACATAAGGGAATTATAAACAAACCAAAAACACAGGTGTGTCTATGCATAAGGATATAGAAAGTAGAAGACAGCGACAGAAGATCACTGAAGATATCTGACTATACTTTTTATCTCTGGCCAATCAACTGCACTGCTGAAGAATGAACATCTCACCGATGCAGTCTACTGCCCTAGTCAGTTAGTTTCTTTATAAACCTAAAGCAGTGGCCTGAGCAGATCACCCTCTATTGAAGGTATTTAAGTGAGTCAATTTAACTAAGATACATCTTTCTACACACTTCTAAGTATTTCTCAGTGATGCATCCTTCAAAACTAGAGTTCCTTTGTGGTACAAGACTGTCAACAAAATAATTAGCAATGATTAGCAAAAACTAATCCTCCTGCAAGGCAATTTTTACTATATTTTACTGAAGTTATTTGTACTTTTAAATATTGAACTTACCCATCCAATGGCTTCAAACATTTTCAGATCAAGTGGGTCACCAGAAAGCGCTCCTTCGATTTTTGTAAGTGAATGACAAGTAGCCATACAAGCAACAAACTGAGATTTTACCAACATCTCATTGCAAACATTTTCTTCTGGCAAAAGAAAACTAAATAGACATGCACTGAATTAGATTCTTAAATCCTAAGACTCAAAACAATATTCCAACAATATTCAGGTTTTGTAATTTTTAAAATGGAAATAAAATGTTTACATTTCTGCATGTAATTTTCACTGTAATTTCTAGCATTTAAAAACATTTTCTTCCTTTAAAGTTAAACATCGTTAAAATACAATTATCTTAGATTCTGAATAATTAACTCAGAGGTAACAATACAGAAAGTATTTGACTCTAAATAATAAACGAAATTTCTACCTATGGCTATATGACAAAAACTTAATGTGTGAGATATTCTTTTAAAAGCAAAACTAAGCTCATAAGAAAGGAATAATATGACCAGTAAGAGAGAGAAAGGGAAACCAGAAGGGAGTGAACTGAGCTGATGCTATGATCATCTCAGTACGATGGAAAAGGGTGAGAGCCATCTCATTGTCCCAAGCACATGAGTTTTAATAACCAGACCAAAAGAGGAGACAAAGTCCTGGTCACAAATAAAGTGGGAAGTTGGAACTAAGAGAATTCCTTTTACCCAAGATAGCCAGTGATCATAAAGACTCACACCTCTGGGAAGAGCATCCTAGAAGAAAATTACCCACAGACCCAAAAGCATAACTAAGAATACAATTATCTTTTCCTTCCACCCAAAGTTCAAGAAGAACAGTTAATGTCTATATAGTATTTAAGTACTGGGCTCTGGTCTAAAAACCTTAAATATATCTGACTCATCTCATGCTCATACCGTAACAGGAAGATTCTTATTATCCCCATTTAATAGATGAAGAAAACCGAAGCAGAGCAGTTACATAACTTGCCAAAGTTACACAGTGGATGAGTAACAGAGTAAGAATTCAAACACTGGTTTTAGGGTATAAACTCTGAAACACCGCACTACTCAGGATGAGTTTGGACTTTGAATATAATACTATCTCTTGGTCTGGAAATCCTCTAGTTATGACCATAACATTAAACCTTGTATGAAAACATTAATGCTACTTCTGGCTAAAGACTTGACCAAGCACAGTAAAAAGTCTCTGGAGAGGAGCCCCCAAAACACAGCCACAAAGAAGTCTCACAGGAAAGTCTTGCTAAAGATCAATCCATAAACTCAATCCACTCTCAAAAACAATTTCCAAAGACAAAATTAGAATCCCATAAATAATAGAATAGCTAACTGAAAGGATGCAAACAAAGACCAAGATATGAGGGTTGGGGGAAGAAGAAAATTTGAAAAGAAACAAATGAAATGTCTTGTCCAACACATGGTTAGGCTGCCTAGATGGGTAGAAAACAAAAAAATGGGGTTACATCCATAAAAGAAAGAAGCTAAAAACTTTGCAGAATATATGAAAACATGAATTCTTTTAAAAAAAAGATTTATATTTATTTTGCACATAAGAACTGGGGTATAGGCTAGGTGCAGGGGGTGAGAGGATTCACCAGAGATAGAGTGGGAAGCAGAACAGGTGGATCTACTGAAATACACTGCTAAGGGGAGCAGTGGGTGAGGCAGGAGAGGTGTGCTGCGCCAAATGTGGGTTAGTTCCCTGGCTGGGGATCGAACTCTGGTCACAGCAGTGATATCATGATAGTGCTGAGACTTAACCCTAAGGCCTCCAGGGAGGCCCAAAACATGAATTCTTGAAATCAAAGGGCAAAATGAGTCCTACACAAATGAAAAGATTGTGAAAAGTGCACATATCAAGGACAAGACTTTAAAATAGCTATAACAAATCAAGAGAAGTGGAAAAAAATTTCAAAATGCTAAAAGAACACAACTGTCTACCCAGAAATTGATGGTTACACTATCATTCAAGAGCAATAATGAAACAGAAATTTACTAATTAATGTAGTTTTGGAAGATGACAATCTAACCTAGAGGAACAGAAAACAAGAAGCCAGGGTTAGCAAAGATATTCATAAACTTAGTTAAATGTAAGTATGCATACTGTATATAACCAAAGTCAGAATCACAAAATATATGTAACAAATATGTATATTCTATAGTCCATGTGGTTTTGGCTTAGAAACCAGTAAAGACAGCAAGCACTTTAGACTCTACAAATGTGAATATTAATAATTTGAGAAGTAGTAAAAGATTAGGAAGAATAAATTCTGAGAAAATTTGTGTGCAAATTAAATTAGGTTTAGAGTTGGTAGCAATAATTTCAAATATCTGAAATCACAGTAACTGTGAATACAATGGCACAAAAAGATTGATAAGTAAACAGATGGAAGGAAAAGCTACCAAGTCAACATTAGGCAAAAGATGGCATGTTATTTAAATATTAGATGACACAGAATCTAAAGCACAATAATAGGAATTTAAAAGCAAACATACATTATTGTAGATAAAGTCACAATATTTCCAGATTTAACAACTCTGAAATTACACGAACCAAACAATAGTCTTTCAACTATATAAGCCAAATATAGATTTTTAAGAGAAAAAAGTTACATAAACACAACAACAGTAATAAAATTTCTAAGTATCAAAAGACAACAAAAAGCAAAGTGAAAAGATAAAGCAGAGGTGGAGGGTCTTAATGAAAAAGATTAACATCAGGAAAATACAAGACTTCTAACAAATGAGTAAGATAAAGAGTAATAGCAGAACAGAAAAATCAAGATATAAACTGACAAAGTGTTTAAGAATGCTAAATGTTTCTCCTTCCAAAATGTGAAAATATATTCAACTTTGTAAGTATGAGTAAAATGCAAATAAACCCACAATGAAATACCATTTCCTATCCACTCATCTGTAAAAATTAGAAGTCCAACAATACCAAGTTTGGCAATTATGTGAAGCAATGGGATCTCTTATTTACTGAGGGGAAAAGTAAGTTAACACATCACTTAAAATCAGGCAACACCTAACAAAGATGATTACATGTAAAAGCTAATGTAAATGACCCAGAGTTGACATTTTTGAGAAGTTAGTTTACTGAAATACAACCAAATGCTCACAAGAAATTGTGACTAAGAATATACTTGCTTCACTGTGAAAGTGGAGGGGGGAGAGAAGGAGAAACTGAAGCTGTTCCTTGGACAGCTGTTATGGTTTAATCATGTAATGGACTACTATTAAATAGTCAAGATTAATAAATTAGATCTATACATTATCAACATGAATACTAGAAACAAAAAAAGCAAAATGTGTAGAATGAATCAGTTTTGTATATTTATAGATAGCTACTGATTACAGGTATGTATACAATGAGAACATAAAAACATGTAAAGATAATAACACACAATTTCAAAACAATGGTAGAGACAGGGAAGGAGACAGATCTAAGATTTTAGTAATATCAGTAATACTTTAAATCTCTTAAATGAAATCTAAAGAAAATATGCAAAGTGTCAATTACTTAATCTTGGTGGTAGGTACACAGCTGTCTACTATATTACTTTCGATATTTTTGAGAGTTCATATATTAAAATACTTATTTAAAATCAGCCAACAAATGATCAAGTCTGGCTAATAGTTACCGTGTATTTTCCACTCGTTGAATCCCCCAAAGATCTAAACCATCTTCAGTAAGAGTTCCAGTCTAAAAATAAAAACCACAAATGTAAAAAGTATAAATAATGCCTCTAAAAACAAGAATCATGGAAAATCATGTTATAGACACACAACAGCATACTATATAGCTGTAAAAAGAGGAGGAAAAGGAGAAGAAAGAAAAAGAAGTAAGATCTGTGTACACTTATATAATGACTTCAGGTGGAGGGCAAGGTACAAGAACATTATTTGTTAAAGTACAGTTCTCTATGTAAAGGGGATGGGAATTATGTGTAGAGGATAGGTTTATACGCTTATATTACTTAACCATTATAATATTTATTTAGAGTTTGACTTAAACAAAATTGAACAATAAAATTGGAGGCATATTTTTAGAAATGCGGGGAAACTGAATGAGGACTGGATATTAGACAATATTTAGGAAATGTTAATTTTGATAAGTGTAATAAACAGTGATAATTTTTTGAAAATATCGTATCTTCTAGAAATACATACTGAAGTAGGTATAATACAATGTCTGGTGCTGCCACCTTCAAAATGAGGGTATAGATTAAGTACCATTCACAAAATGTTGATAACTGTTAATGCTGCGTAAGAGTACATTATACCAGTAATTTTTTCCTCCATATATTTTAATGTTTCCCCAAAAAGACAAATGTAAGTGAAATTTTCCAGACATATATATGGTCATGGGATATGGCCCATTTTCCTTTTCCTTAATAATGAAAATGCACAAAAAACAAATTCCTGTATCATTTATCCATTAAGAGCTTGATGGAAGAGTCTTTTGGTCAGTTTAATTCTCAAAATAAAACTTAACAAAACTAATTTCAGTTGCTAAGGGGGAATCCAATGTGACATGCAAAGCACATTTCAAACAGGTACAAGATCTGTTATGTTCACATAAAATTTTAAATGACTTCATAATTTTAAAACATAATAAAATCATAGAACAATCAACATATCTACTTAATAACAATAAAATTTCAGTGTATATGTATGAAGCCTATCCTGTTAAATACATGAGAGATTAATAAACCTCACTACTACTACAAGGCACAATTCTGGATATGAATGATTATGCAATTTCAGGTCTGGGCAAATAAGCAATAATCAAAGGACCAAAAATTGAAAAAAATGAGAAAAATACTGAAAAATGTTATGTCAGTAAGTTGAAAAAGAGGAAAATTGAAGGAACATGAAAAAATGTGTGCATATTAGTTGATCAAAAAAATTAAATATTAAAAGCTACAAAATAACCTTTGAATAATCTATGAAACTGAACTAACCTTGTCAAAGCAAACAAGATTCAGCTGTCCACAGATATTTATCCTTTGGGGACTAATACAGAAAATACCAATTTTTTTCAGTCTTCTTTGGGCATACACAATACCAGCAGTCATTGCAGCAGGAAGTGCAGGTGGCACAGTAATTGTAATGATATCAAGAGACTCGATAATTATTGACCCAGCTTCTACCTACAATTAACACAAAAATACATGTAAGACTGGCAATATTTACTGATCTAATGTGAGTATTTCTTTAGGGAAAAATCCACTAACCAACATCTATTAACCATCTAAAGTTTTCTCCCTTCAGAAGTTTTGCAAAAGGAAAAAGTTCAATGAACTGTCAATGGAATGCAGAATGACAGCTATTTAAAGAAAACTCTCGTGTTACAGCTCTCTATGTCACCCACTATACATCTCAAAGTTCAACGAACATCTGTCAGATATTGACTCATACTAGACAAGCACTGTACCAGGCCACTCACTACAGGAAAGAAACTTGACAAGATCTCTTAAAAAAAGAGAGAAAAAACAAAGCTTTCAGTATGAAGCCACCTCTCCCTTTTAGGTAATGAGCAAAACAAACAAGAATCAGCAAAGGAATTTCCACTACGATGAAAACATTTTATTATTTACATTTTCTAATATAATAGTTACTACTCTTATATGGTTTTAAAATTATTTCCATTTTCACTTCTTCAGCCACTTGCCAATACCTACAAATCAAATCCTATTGTGTCCCATGTGCATACCTTATGTAAAATGCTATTGATAATAGTGTAGATAAACCCAATGCCAGCCACTGCCACAAGGCATAGGAGAAACAAGTAGGCATCTCTGTAGAGTTTAAAATCAGTTGGTTTGGGATACAATATGGAACGAACAAGTTGTCCTTTGGAAGTACTAAATCCTTTAAAAAAAAGTAAAGAAGAAAATTATTTTATTTTTATACTAAGAATTATCTTCCAAAATAGGGGCCTCCCTCGTGGTGCAAGGGGTTAAGCATCGCACTATGAACCAATCAGCAGCCTCTGTAGCACAAGTTCAATCCCCAGTCTGCCAGGGAGCAACCCACATGGCGCAGCAGACCTCTCCCATCTTGCCCGCTGCTCCCCTCAGCAGTGCATTTCAGTCAGTCTGCCTATTCTGTTCCCCACTCTCTCTGGTATAACCCCCCACATCTCTTGCCTGTACCCCAGCTCTTGTATGCATAAATAAATAAATCTTTAAAAAAAAAAAAAAGAATTATCTTCCAAAATCTCTTTTTAAAAACGGAGTAGACAAATATGTTAAAGCATGCAAGAAGAGACAAGTATTTTCTACCTGTTCTAACTACTATGGCTTTGACAAGTTCTCCAGTGTAGAAACGAGTCTGAATAACAGTAGTCCCACAAAACAAAGTGTGTCGTTTATGTATTTCTGGACTATATAATTCATCTCCCATTCCTTTTATGTCCACTGAAGGATTTGGCAAGTTAGTCTTTGTCACTGGAACACTTTCTCCTTGAGAAAAAAAAAAAAAAAATCATAAAATTAAAGCATAGAAATCAGTATCAAATACACAAATCTTATATAACCTAAATGTTATCATACTATTTACAACAGGTATTAAGAGTTCACATATGTGAAAAATAAAGCTTAACCCATTTAACTTTCTATCAATTTCCTTACCCAAAAAACATTAAATCTTGTCTCCCACAGCAATCCCTGAAAGTGATGGATAATTCAAAGGTAATCATTTGGAAATGATTGGGTCAAGTTTCAAATAAGACCAGGTAGTAGTCATAGTCCCGGCACCTTTTCTCTGACCCATAAGAAGTGAACTGGAAAGCACTCTGCATCCTTCCTTACCACTCACTACACATCCATCACCACTCTACACCATCCCCTCATGCCCCCCAAGAAGAGAAAAGGCATCTGGACAAGGGAGAGAATGAGTAGTATGGGAGTTCTGTCAACCAACAACACTCAAGTTCTTTCTAATATTAAATTTTAATTCTCTGTAGGAGTAATATTTCTTGCTTCAAAGGCAGCAAGTGTGTAGAGATATTTATGTATATGAGTTTTAAGACAACTCTTGAAAACGCATTATATAGAATCACCTTCTTGCCAGATTGACTATGATAATAAAAAAAAATTGTGTGATAAAAGATATTAAGCTTTACCAGCAGATGTGTATTTCCAAAGGAAAGTCATCTTACTGTCCACTTCTTCCCAGTTTAAGAAAAAATACAAAATCTTTATTCCTCATCAAAACGGGAATAACATGCATTCTCTGGGGGCAAAAACCCTCTTTCCTCTTCCCTTACTATAAAGCATTTGCTCATATGAAAAGTGGCTAGAAGCAAGCCAAGAGATACAGTGAACACCTGCATAGTGATTTAATACAGTGGAGTATGATGCAGAATATGGTCCACTCACGTTCATGGCATTGATGAGGAAAGGGTACAAACCATATAGCTAATCTTGAGATAATCTAAACAGTAACTTAACCCTAGTATTGTTAATAAACCACTCCTCTTACCTGTTAACATGCTTTCGTTTACAATGCAAGTACCATTAATAAGTACTGCATCACAAGGCATGACTGTCCCATTTAATGGAATCACCATAACATCTCCTGGCACAAGGTCTGTAGAAAAGATTTCTTCTATTTCTGTATTTAAAGAAAGAAAAGTCTGTAAAGAATATTTTTTAACTTGGAATAAAAATGCAGCAAAAAGATCTTGACAAAAAGTTAAAAACAGAAGCTAAAAAGGAAAATTCTAATAAAAGAAGAATTTCAACAAATATCTTAGGCTAACAAAGCATGGTGTTTCAGCATATCAGCTAATCTGTCTTCTGACAGGAAAGCAATTGCACAGAGGTGATGCCAAGTCCTCACTAATCAAACAGGTAGGTGGGTTTCAAGGTCAATGATTGATTTTAGTTATCAGTCCTTAGTAAATAGGCATGAGTCCACACACAAGACTCCTCTGCAATGTGTAAATAAAAGCAGATTTCTATAATCTTTGGGAAACAAACAAAAAAAAGTACTGGAAATATCATACTTTCTTTAGTAACATTTCAGTATCATTTTTTACAGCATTCTTCTTCTGGTTGCCACCATTTATAGCCCATAAAGTCTCACTGTCTTCTTAACATTCCTGAAAGCCCTAACATTTATGACTATATTCAAAATAAATTAAACATTGCAATTATTTTCTCTAGCAGGGGTTTTCTTTAGGGCTGCCTCATATTTGCACATTTTCTCTTTCATTCTTTTCCCCTTCTAGATTTAATTCCATGCTCAGAAGAGAATTACACGGAGACAGGTCAGGAAAAACCTATTGTTTGTAGAGTTAGTCTATAGTCTATAATGTTAGTCTATAGTCTATAGTCTTAGTCTATAATGTAGTTTACTAAGTTATGAGAAAGTAAGTTTTAAAGAAATCTAGTGAAATTTAGTACATAGTAGGTAAAATAATCTTCATTTTTAAATAAGATCCCTGTTTTAAAGACCTGACTTTTAAAGCTTTAACTTCACATAAATTCTATTCCTTTCATGGGTATAGGAAACACAGTATCAATAACCTGCTAGACTACATAAATGGGATAAGGAAGATACAAGTTAAATGTAGTCTCTCCTACCAGGCCCAGGACCTTCAGCAACAACAGAGAGGAAAGAGGAGTACACCAATAAGCTACATCTCTGAGGCTGCAGCTAGGGGAGGCAGATACCCCCACCTAAAGCAGCAAATAATCAGAAGCATAGGAAAAGAATCTGCTAAACCCAGCTGTTTTTACATGTAGATGAAGTGTACTGAGCCAAAAGAAAGCAAGTTGATTTGGTATTCTTGATTGATCAAAGTAGCTACTGCCAGGGCCTCCCCTGGTGGCACAGGGGTTGAGCGCTGGGCTGCAAAGCTGCCTCAGCCTCTGCAACACCGGTTTGATCCCCGACCACCAGCGAGGGTCCCACATGGCGCGGCAGACCTCTCCTGCCACACCCACTGCCCCCCCTCAGCAGTGTATTTCGTCACTCTGCCTGCTCTGCTACCGGCTCTGGCTCTGGTGCATGCTTTCACACTCCCACACTTCTGACTGTACCCAGTGCTTGTATAAATAAATAAATCTTAAAAAAAAAAAAAAAAAAAAGTAGCTACTGCCTCCAAGGTCAATGATGTTTTGCTACCTTCCCTTTATTTCTTTAATATCTCACCAGACAAACTAATATGTCCAAAATATTTCCTTCCCCCCTACAATACTGCTTCTCCAGTGCCCCTTATTTAATTAAATGGCCTCACAATGCCCAAACCCCTGGTCTAACAATGCTCTATTTCCTTGCAGCCAATAATCATCAAATACTGTTCAATGCCCACATTCAAGTATCTTACAGTCCATCTCAGTTCTCTCCATCTCCACAGCCCTCACCTTGATCATTTCATGCCTTCAATTTTACTCTTCTTAGTCTGAACATAGCAGTCAAAATAATTTTTTCAAAAAGGCAAATATCATCCTATCACTCTCCTGCTTAAAATCCTTCCATGGCTTTCCACTGCTTTTTTGAATGAGTCCAAATCCTTTAACAAGCCATAGAAGACTGTCCATCATCACGTTGCTGCATCTGCCAAGCTGAGTATTTTTCAGTTATTACAATGACCATATGCTCACTAATTCCCATGGCTTTGGGCACTTGGAACCCTCCTGTCTCTTTTTCATCCCCACCATACCATCCTCTCACCTACCTCTGATCTGCTTAATTCAACCACTTGGTAACTTACCAAAGAAGTTATCCCTGACACATACAATAAATGAGCTCTCTAATATCTAAGTTTCCAAATATTTTTCATACTTTATGGTTACTGTTCATAATCTGTCTTTCCCAGAAGACTTAAGTTCAATGATGGCAAGGACTGTGTCCATCTTAGTAACCACTGCATCCCCAGAATACAACATGGTACCTGTTACACTGTAGATAAGAAAATTACAATTATGCATAAACGAATACATTTGGTAGAAAAGCAGAATACAAATCTAAACATGCATTTTTATTTCTTTAGAAATGGCAATTATGTGTATAATACAAAGGGCTTGCTTCATACACCAGTGTTTAATGGGTATCACTTTAATTTTCCATGCATCATCTGAATTACTTACCTTCATTTAATCTGCAAACTGAAACCCTCACAGTACTGTGGGCAGCTACCATATCATGCAACATAATGTATTGCTGAAATAGAGAAAATAAATTTGTAAAGAGCTAAAATAAACACACTCTTCAAGACGTTAAAGAAAAAAGCAAGGGTTCTATTAAATAAGGCAAATGCATATTACTCTGCCTTTAAAATTGTCAAGACTAAATGATTCAAAGATCATTCAATGTTTAGTTCCAAACAAAATAAGCACTTTACTGAGCCGATCCTAAAAATATCAGAATCACCTTTCTGGTATTCTCATCTATTACAAGAAATTATAGACCCATCCCTAAGCAGTTAAGTGGTAGTTAAGACTATAAACAGCATTTGTCTTCTCCATCTCACAAAAAAAGGGGGTGCGGGGAGGACATATTTGTATAACTAAAAAAATAACTACATTACTTTGTACCAAGTACTAATCTATTATTACAAAATACAAATACAGTTTAAAACTCATAATAAATTGTACTTACCTTTCTAATGGAATATAGGGAGGTAACAATTGATACTATAGACATGATCACAATAGCTAGAGCATAGTAATAGTACTCGTCAGTGCTCCACAATATAACACTGAACAACTGGAAAATGTAAAATGGGTTGAGAACCTGAAAAACAAGATTTTTAAATTAAACTGAATGCAATATATATAATCATACAGCTTTTCCACCTTTTCATTGGAGTAACTAGCAAAACAGAGTGTAAGTTCTATAGTATCACAGAGCAACATATACTATTACCCAAAGAGTAGAGCAAGATGTACTTAATATAGTACTCGTTGTCATAAAGCTACTAATATTTGGCCAAATAAGCTTAACTTAAATTATCTGTGTCCATTTAGATTTATGCCAAACCCAAATTTAAATTCAGCTAGAAACAGACTATGTTAACTTAGTTGTTCTGCATTCTACTTTAAAAATAAAGTATACTTCAAAAAATTACTGAACTACTAAGGATGTAAAATTTTAATATTTGCTTTTATGAACTTAAAACACAAATTAATAACCCCTCTGAGTTCTTAAAATTATTGCTTCTGCATTTTTCAAAGCATTTTCACATACATAGTCCCATTTTACTTTACAATCAAATGAAATAACTAGAGAGCATTTACTATAATTTTATAAAGGAACAGCTGTGGAAGTTTTCTAATGATCAAAACTATTTACTGATGAAACCATGTAACAAACAAGGCTACTCGCTAATACTCTACTTTGTTCTAAAGCAGCACTGTTATGAGTACTCTCAGGAACCCAACACAGTCAACTTCTGATTTTTAGCCAAAAACCAGAAGGAAGACTGGAACCCTCAGTCAGCTAAGGCAAATTCACTTACACCATTATTCACATGCCCCAAGTCCTTCATTCACACCTCTTCTAGGACACTTAAAACTGAGTAGTGATTACAACTACTGATGCATTTTCTCCTAGACTAAGAGCAAGTTTCTCAATGTCAATCACCATGTGACCTTTTATATACCAATTTCTGGTGCAATATCTAGTTTCCAATAACAAATCACAAAACAGCACTTACAGAAAACACGAAAAGGTGTTTTAAAATAGGGGAAAAGAAAAGATAGGTTGGGGCAAAACCTCCTGCAACTTCCTTTTTGGGGGAGAGGGGAACCACAATTATAGACAAGAAAAGCAAAGCTGGACAAAATAAGAAAGATAATTCATGCCCCAAATTATCTCCCAGGGTTGCTACCTTTATCTTCCAAGTAAAGAAATAAATAAGCCACAAGAAGTTGGTAAACAGAAAATGAAAAATACGTTATTACTTAAATCATGCCTCTTTTCAAATTGGCAAATATATTAAGCACAAATTTGAGACACGTACAATAGTCTTACCTCCTTAATTAGAAGCTTAAAAACAGAAGGCACTTTCACAGTAATTTCATTTACTCCATAAAGCAATTTTCTATAACAGGAAAATAGAATAATAATATTACATTGTATTATTTAGCATTAGTACAATTTAGGGAAGGTACTGCATTAGATAAAGCTCAAACCATAGACTGCTAAAATCTGGAATTTAAAACAATCATTTCATAAGTATTTGTCGTCTTTAAATTCTCTTCCTTCAGTATTTAAATCAAAATAGTCAATACTAAATAACTCAACAGTTATCATTCTCATACTATTTTGTGACAAGTTATCTTTCCTTCCAGTCTACAATAACCATGTCAGTGAAAGCCATTTTCCCCATCTTTCAACACATTAAGTCTCAACAATTTTGAATTGCAATTATTATTTAAAAGAGACTAAATAAATTTGAGGAGTACTGCACCATTTTTCTAATATTGTACTAAGAACATGTATTTCAAAACATGTACATCTAACATTTTTTTAAAAATGTTAAAGAAAAACTGCTTAAATTCTCCCACTTAAATATCTAAAATTTAAAAGTACCTTCCATATGATAGAATTTTTTTTGCCTTTTATGAAGTATCAGTCTGAATGAATCTTTTTATATTCTAACCCTTTGGAAGAACAATCTATAACTGTTCAACAAATATTTCTAATTTAATTTGAAAATGGCATTTATCTTTAAAATATCTAATATGCTGGTACATTTTAATACTTTAGCAAAAAATAACACTATAAAAAAAGATGTCTTCCAATTTACAAATTTCCACTGTGGCAAATCTGAGCTCATACTTACAATAATGTATTTCAGAAAATCTAAGATGCTAATGATTGTAAGACATACCTCTATTTTATATAGCATGAAAAAAGATAAAAGTCTTGTGAAGTAAATGATAGCACTCCACCAACTGTACAACACATCCCCCTTTTAGAGATATTAAAATCTGGGAAAATGTGCATCTTAGAATTGATGAAATAATATGACAGGTTTTTATTTATGAATATCAATTTCTAAATACTAACTTCAACATGTTAATAATTCTTAAGCTGAGAGATGCTCTTACCCAAATAAAGTATCAATTAAATTGTCCACTACTATATTTATAATAGTCAAATACCTGCTAGTATGTACAACTACATGATAAAAGGGTGGACTACATATACTACTTTACTTAGGAGTTTTGATAATAGATCTAACTTTAGTTGGATAAAAATTACCTGTAGGCATGCATCCCCTTTGTCAGTCCTGCACTATGCTTTTCATAAATTGACGTACAAGAAACACCTTCATCCAGTCCCCTAAATAAATCCAAAGTTTTTACTTTAAACAAAGTTTAAAATATCCAAATTTCTTAATGCCTCATTTTTCTATATTCCTGATTTTAAAGTGTGAAAAACAGCAACCCTTAACAAAAATTGAGATAAGAAATTTTAAATCTCAAGTTCTTAATATAAAATAATGAAAGCTCTAAGTTTCAAGTGTGGCAAACTTCTAAGTTACTCACTGTATCTATCACATGGTATTATGCCTCTAAATACTGAAGTTTTGATAATATGATCCTCTAAGGCTGTGCTAAAGCTGTAAGAGGTAACAAACTAATAAAATTAAAAGTAAGGTATGACTAACTTGAGAATTCCAAACTAAAGATTTTAAAGTTTTTTTACTTGTTATCCATATAGTTTTCTCTCTTTAATTTTTTTTTAACTGCACACTAAGAAATCCTACTTTTTTCTTATACAAAAGCATCACCCAAATCTTCCCAATTTAACACATGCCCAAGAGAAGGAAAGAATTTATAAGTCATAATTTCTAAAATCTGTAATAATTCTAACTGGGAGTCAACAAACATATCTACTTCCCCCCCCCCCCAAAATGTCTTAATTATGCTTACTTTAACAGAAATACTAATCACAGATTTTTCTAGAGAGTCTTAAAAATCATTTAATTCTAATGCCTTTTCACTTTTTTTTTTTTCCCCCAGACAGAAAAACTAAGCTCAATAATTAACTCCTATCATTGGTTAAGAGTTTCAAGTTCTACAAGTTTCTATGGTTGGAAAAAGGCCACTGAGGTTGGTGAGTTTTCTCCAAAGGAAGCAGAGATAAACTTCAAGTCAGTTAACAAAAAAAGCAGAGGGGTAGGGGGTTGGGAGCAGCTCACTGATTCTGCTCTATAAAGTAATGGTTCTAACTAGGAATGGTCTAACTAGGAATGGTACTAAGCATATGAAAATGCTCAGGTCCATTCCAGAACATTCAATTCTTTAGTGTGTCTGAGAAAAAAATCCAGGCATGAATGAGCATTTCAAATATTCACAAGGTGAATTCTTTTTTTACTGCTAATATTAAGAACTCCTTTAATATAATGATACTTAAGGAGTGCTTGTAGTAATCACAATCACTTTAACAAAAGCAATAAAAATAGAACCCTTATGCAACTGAAGTCTTCACAAAAATACCTCTGAAGGTATTACCCCAAGCTGTCCTACCCAATGCTTATTAACACATTTGGCAATTTCCCATCCTTTGCACATAGCAAAGTTAGGTTTCTGTTCATCTATCAACTCCAGCCCTCATTTCAGCAAAATGGGAGGTGATAATTCAGACATTCTAACAGAGTATATAAGGTATACTCAAAATTTACCCACAACAAGGGTAAATGAACAAACGAACCCTCAACAAGAACTCAGATTCAGTGGGTTTTGGAATCATACTTCTTACTTTCATATAAATTTTGGCAAGATATGTTGCTGGTGGGATTTTATTCTAAAATAGTTAATGAGTATTTAAGTAACAGGAGGGACTTGTTAATGAATATGTGCACCAGTTATGCAATAAAAACCTCCTCAACTTTATGTAACACTAGAATTATTTCTAACTAGAACATTTTCAAGATACCCATAATCCAAACAAGAGAAACACACTTACTTTAAGAAATCAAAATTGTGAAGGGCATCATTCCAGAAGTATTTTACACTGTGATGGGTAAAATAACGAATCTGTAGAACACACATCAAAAAGCATTAACAATTAAATTTATTAACATAAGTCTATCACACAAAGACATATTAAAATCATTCACAAGAGTGACATGTAGTATGTTTCATTTAATAATATTTAAACTGTGCCATTTATGATTTTTATATGATATACATTTATCTCAAATAACTGTGCAAAATCGTAGGTTTCCCTAATAGCATAAAATGCAACTATTCTGGTTTTTAAAGAAACTTTGATACTTAGATCACAATACCTGTTGTGACTGGGTCTGTGAATATTTACTCATTTCATGCCTATTGTCTTCTGTCAGATTTTCAGATAAATGAACAGCATGGCCATTTGAAATCTTATTGGTCACAGATTTTGGACTTGAAAATGGGTGGGTTTCCAATGAAAGAAAGCGAATTTTTGCACAAAACCACATTTTGAATTCATCCTTAGAAGAGATAAAGACTCAATTACATGTATTACATAAATGTCTACCTTTTGATTTCCATTATATATATATTATTTACTCAACTCTAATCAAGAAAGCATTACAATCTACTCACTAAATGTTAAACCCATTTTATGAAAAGCCATAAATTCAAATGTGAAGTGCTACGCATTATTCACCAATTTATACTACATACTTAACTGATACAATATGCAATAAAAGATTATGAGTAATTTCTTAATTTACACATTTACATGCTGAGGCTAGATAAAGCCTCTTATAAAATGTTCCCAATTCAGATAAAAAAAAAATCTGGGCTGCAGTAGCATCACATAGTAGAAAGGCAGCAGGTCTAATGAATGAGATATCTGGGATACAATCCTAACTCTCCAGGGACCTTGGAGAAGGCAAGTATCCAATTTCTCATGTATCAAGAGCTATAAAAACAAGGTGAATTTGATCATTTTTAAGGTTTCTTTAAACTCTAGTCACCATAATATTATTTATTTCAAACACTGATGTTTTCAAAATACTAGGACCAGAATTTTTCATTACATCCTAACAGAGGTACTCTTTCATATTAGTATTTTGAACAAAGCATATATAAAGACATTACAAATAAATACATGAACTTACAGTAGTCCTCAGCAGCACCACTTCACAGTCTTTAATTGCAGCTCTAATACAGGTGGCCTTCACCCGCCACTCAGGCAACCAATAGAGGAGGAGGAGGAGAAAGCCGCCAGTGCAAACCACTCCTAGGGAAACCATGGCAAGCTTCCAGCGACTTAAGTTATAGCCATAAATCTCCTGCATGGAAGTGATCATATTATGTCAGAGATAAAGTCCAAAGTTGCTCTCTAAATGGGTATCACTGCCTTATCACTGCAAATATCTTCACAACTCATAGTTACCTTTAAATTTTCTTTCTGTTAAGTTCATTTTTAAAGTTACAATTTTTAGTTAAATCTGTTGATATTTTTACATATTATGGTTTCACAATCTATGTTATGCTTAGTAAGTACTTTTCCATGGAAAGTGTATATTCATAGTTTACCAGAACTATGACAGATAGGATTGTTAGATAAAATATAAGATGCCCTGTTAAATTATGTAGAGATTATGTAGAAGTAATTTCATTTCTATATTTGTCTTTTAAATTCTTCCAGAATTTATCTTGTAGTTGTTTTTTATTTTTTGGTGAGTTTTTAAATTTTGTAATAATTTTAGATTTACAGAAAAGTTACAGAAATATTAGAGTTCCTACATATACTTCATCCAGCTTCCCCTAATGTTAATGTCTTGGTACTGTTTTCAAAATCAAGAGATTAACACTGACACATTATTACTACTAACCAAAATGAGCCTTCATTAGCATTTAAACAGTTTTCTCCATTGCTCATTTCTGTTCTAGGATATAAACCAGAATATCACACTGCATTTAGATGTAGTAGCTTTTAGCCTTATTTTTCCCCAATGATTTATTAATTGTCCTAAAACCAGTGACTACTCAATTTGACCTCACTGTCCAAATTATTTCAATTACCTTCCATCCCCCACCAGGCTTAGATAATGAAAAGGGCTCCACTAGACTAAAAACTATTGGATTATTTTCATAAAGTTTTCCTAATCTGCATTGTTTCTTGCTTATCACTGGTAGCATAAAAGTTAAATAATAATGAATTTTAATTAATAGGTAACCCAAGACAATGAGGAAAGAAGCACAATGACTTCACTATCATTTTTCGTTAAATACAAATTTTCTACTCCCTCAGAATAATAAATTGCAGAGATAAATTCTTCATATTTCACAAGTGAATTATAAAAGTTGGTTACCATCTCATCTTCTTGACCCTGGTTGATAGTCTTCCTTTCTTCTTTGTCCATATCTACAGTGGTTTGAAAGGTCTTGTGCTTCAGAACAGCTGAAGATAACTAAGGGAAGAGAGGCAAATATTAGATAGTGAACCACATATTGAGATTTGCAAAATAAATATCAATGATGGTTTGGAAAGTGTTTTTCAGAAAATCTTACTTAATATGTAATAAATTTGTTATGTTTTATCAATATTCTTAAAGATAACCAGTTTTAATTAATGTGTTTCCTACAGCCTATGTAAACAAAAGCTCACAGTTCACAGTAATTTTTAAGAATACAGAAGAGTCAGAGCCAAAGAGCTTGAGGGCTACTGGTCGATAGAGTAGGCTCGCCTCTGGAAAACTATTGGGAACATTACATCTTTAATCCCAGATGCCATATTTCTATTCATCTATGCTTTGTATAGCAGGCGCTTGATGTGTCAGGCACTCAAAAAATTCTTCTTGAATAAACGACCTGATGAATATGTGCTAAGACAGAAATAACTATTTAGTGTTTACATGATGTAAATTAATAGCCAAGTAAAAAACCAACTGTTAGGATTTTAACTAATCCTAAGCACAAGACTACCAAAATCTCTTATTTTAGGTAAGCAACAAAATACTGTTATCCTAAAAAAATACTGTGATCCTAAAAAAGAAGCCTTAGCAGTATCTAGTCAACTTTTCCAAAACAAGTTGCATTATCATTCAAAACACTTTGGACACTACAGTAATAATTCTCAGCCTAGGGTAGTGTTAAAATCTTACAGAGTGGTTCCACCCAGGTAAGACCAATCTATCAAATCGATACAACTTGAAGTGACACTCATTCTCAAGAGCTATTTATTACCTGCTGCTACAGACTGGGTTGAATGAGCACCAGGTTCACACAGAGTTCGGCGAAGAGTGCCTGTTCCCACCAAGAGATGAAAAACCTCATGAGTCAAAGGAATCACAAAAAGTATTCAGAAAGGTTGGCTTCAGTAGTAGGATCAAATTAGCCCTAAATTAAAAACTACTCCTGTGTAACAAAGCTAAAAGACCTAAAGAATAAAATTGTTTCCATGTAACTGCCTCACACAACAAAATTCAAGGAGATTTGTAGAAAACAAAAGATCTAATTCCAGTAAGTCACAATGTCTGACATCCAATTAAAACTTAACAGTTATACAAATAAGCAAAATACATAATGCGTAAACAACATGAAATGACAGAGACAACAGAACTGGAAAACAAGGACAGTAAAACAGCTATTGTTAAGTGTAGTTCATACGTTCAGAAAGAGGAAAGACTGAACACGTTTGGCAAGAAAAAAGAACCAAATTGAATGTAAAGATTTATACAATTTATTTAATGAAAAATATTAGATGGAAGTAACAGCAGAATGAAAAATGACTAGATTTAAACAAACAAAAAAAGGCAACAGCATCTATCAACAGGCTGTGAGACTTCAAATATACATGGAAGGCAGGAAAAACAAAAATATGTAATGGTAATTTCCAAAACTTTTCCCTATCAGATGAAAAGAAACTAAACCCAAAGATTCAGTAAGTCCAATTAACGCCAGGCATAAACATTAAGAACTTATACTAAGACATGCCATTTGTCAAAAGTACTGAAACCCAATAAGGTCCATTCTTGACCCCATCATCTCATTACTCTTTTTATTATGAGTTATACTAGAAATTTAGCTTATTAAGGCAAAATTCTTAAGTCTTATCAAATTTTACCAAAGTTGAAATATTTAAAATTTAAATTAAAAGTTGCTCTAAAAATCACCAATTTCCCTTTAAACACATTATAGTTCATAGGCTATTACTAAGAATTCAAATTCATCTTTCCCATAAACTTCCAGTAAAAACCAAACACCAATGAGACAACTCCAACAGCTTACATTTAAAACACATACAATTGCAAATATAGATTTAAAATTTTAAGACACAAAGTCCTTAACATTTCACTTCCATGAAAATAACCTATATAAACATATTTAAATACATTGCTCACTGAGATGAAAATGAATTGTTATTCTATGACATATCTAATTAGACATTTGAAGCATTTAATAGCAAACCTGTAAAATCCATTTAAATTAGAGAGGTATAATTTTGATGACTTGCTAGAGTGCATGTATTTTTTCAATCAAGTCAACTTCTAGATCATAGAAAACAAGTTAAGTTTTTCTTACCTATCTCACCTTATCATCATTCCTCCCAATTGCTGATATTAGCAGAGTTCAGAAGCTGGTTCTTAATAATAAAATTAAATATAAAAACTCTCTTCAAATAAATTTTCTGCCAAAAATTTGTTTTCATTCTTTTTAAACTGCTTTCAAAATGATTAAGACATAAAACTTAAGATTTTGTAAAACACTGATTTTATGGCAAAAATGGATTTTCAAAAGTTAGACTCTTTGCCATCTGACTGCCACTAATACAGCTCCCATTCGTTAATTAAATCATATCTAGTTAGCTCACTGAAGTCCCAATTCTACAGTGCATGCCTGAACCTTGATGTCATCTAAATAGCAAGGAGCTTATTGGCTATTGTCCTTAACCAAACCCTTCCTTGCATTTATAATGAACTTGATTTTGTGTGAGTAAAAACAGCATAAGACAAAGTGAAATTAGGAATAAATCTCACTAAATCTAAAGCTAATTTTTGAAAGCTTATTTGTTGGTTTTACATTATATAATTACTACTAACCACTCAAAGTATAGTCTCTAATTAAGAACAGGAGTTAGATCTCTTCTCCTAAAACAAGACGAAGTAGCCTCAACAGGAACAGACCTCCCCAAATCTCTTAACCATTTTTATTTCAAACTCAAGTTTCTCATGGCTGTGTCACAATAGTAGTATAACAGAATATATGGAAGGGTTTTAAGAACAGAATTCCAAAGCATGTGACTCACAAGGTGATTTAGAGAATGATCTGTAACTCAAGTAAAACTTGAAGTAATTTTGAACAGTACATTTTTAATTTTTTACATTCAGACTAACATAAAAACTAAAATTAAAAATGTACTATTCAAAATTCACAAAACTAAGAATAAAAGGAATTTAAGTGTTCAAATGATGTTCATAAGTTTGTAACATATACTTCCAGAGTTTTAAAATTAAAAAATACACTAAATTAAGATTTTTTTGGGCACTTTGTATTGCTGAAATACAAAATGCATTATCCTACTTTGTTTTGTAATTCTAGATTTTTTTTCTGATAATTAAATATACCTACCCATGTTAAATAAAGAACTGAAAAACCCATCTTCAAGGACCACTCAGCAAAAGGTGTTTTGAAAGACTGTGAAGTAAGCAGTACTACCAGCATTCTGAGTATTATTTCATATTCAAATCTGTAGCATCCACAGAAACTAAGATGACCCTCTGCAATTCAAAAGCAGTTCTCCCTGTATAATCAAAATAAAATATACCCTAATACATATAAAATCCTGACTCTACTCACTGGACAACCTCAATTTCACATCCATGCAAATATTTATACAAAAATAAAAGAAAATCTCAATCCCCTAACTACATAACCAAATTGTGACAACTCTCTGAGGGCAAAACTCCACACTTCAAAACCAGCTTCTAACAATAAGAATGACATAATATAATTTAATGAATACATGGAAATTTTACAAGGATACCAGTTAAATTTTAACAAAGCTCTACTCAATAACCATTTTATCACTTCCCATCTTGAACTTTCTCTTATAATACAAGCTTTTGTTTCTGTGTTTAGGTTTAAGGAAAGCTATTGTATCCAACATACAACAAACTAAAACTGTATTTACATTTGTAAAGCACAGTCTTTACATAGTTACACTTTTTGTATGTTACAAAACAATGTGAGAGTTATAACTAAATAAATTCTAATTAGGAAAGATAATGTGATTACCTACCTTAGGGTCAATGTTTCTATCACTTTCACTATAAAACTATTTTTAAGGAAGAAATCAACCCTTTATTCAGAGAAACTCCATGCAGTAAGACAGTCATCATTTCACAAAAGAGTAATTTTGACTATTACAATCATCCAGCAGTTAATTAATAAAAAGCAGGAAAAAGTATACCTATGGAGTAACAAATGATATCATGTCTTACTTTCACTTCATAAAAAAGGAAATGTTTCAAAATCATTTACATAGAATGCAATACAGTAAACACTGTTTTGTTTTGTTTTGTGGGACCCTCGCAGGTGGTCAGGGATCGAACTGGCGCTTGAGAGGCTGCGGGCAGCCTGGCAACCCGGCGCGCAACCACTGTGCCACCAGGGGAGGCCCACAATACAGTAAACATTTTTAAATGTCTACTTATGAGAGCTTTGCTTTTATTTGTTACTTTGATCTTAAAACTTTTATACTTCCCCATAAATCTTATGTCACATTCATATTCAATGAATTTCATATTCATATTCAAAATTTCATATTCAATGACTGAAAATTTTAAGTATTCCAATTGCTAAAGTGATTTCTAAATTTTACCACCTATTATATGAAAGGGTGCAGTGGGCAAACATAAATCATAGATAGCACCACTAGGTAAGACCAGGCCTACAGACTGAATATTCCAAACTAGCAAAACTGAAAAGACCTAGAAAGAAAGCTTAGACCCACTCCTATGATAACCAAAAGTCAAATACATTAATAAAATGGTGACAAATCCAACAATGAAAATGTGCTAGTGAGTCCTAGGGATGGGGTGGGAGTGAGGAAGAGGCTTCAGTGCTTTTAGAATGCTTTCACCATCTACATGCAATAATATGCTTAAAACAGGTTAAGAGGGCCTCCCTGGTGGCTCTGGGGTTAAGACAGCACTATCAAGCTATTGCCAGTCACTACAGCATGAGTTCGATCCCCGGCCAGGGAGCTAACCCACAGAGCACAGCAGACTTCTGTCTTGCCAGCTATTCCCTTGGGCAGTGTATTTCAATAGATCTGCCTGTTCTGCTTCTCACTATCTGGTGAATCCTCTCACTGCCCCCCCCCCCCGACACACAAACCTCTGGCCTACACCCCAGCAGTTCTTGTATGCACGAATAAATAAAAATAAAATCTTTTTTTAAAAAAAGAATTAAAAAAACAGTTAAGAGAGAAAGCTAAGGATAAGTTCAAATTTCTAATCCTATAACATCTGATCAACCTTGATCTTAACTTTATAGGGAACCTCTAAAACACTTTTTGGTGATCTATCAGAACAGATCCTTTGCCTAGACCACACACTTAGTTAAAGTCACTTTACCCTAAGAACAAGATGAAATAGTCATTTTTAAGGCTCCTTTATCAAGTATATGTCTAGTAATCTACAGATGATGTTTATTTTTATATCCCCCCCCCCATATTTTGGTCCCTCTGAGGAAAAGCACTAGCCTGTGATGTTGTATACACAACAGCAAATTCCAAATTATTTTATAAAACGAATTAGGTGAACATGTATGCTATGTTCACTACTACCAGGAACAATAGGAGATATGCAACTTTTACCCCAAAACATAAACAAAAACAAAAGAGCACAGAACTAAGAGTCAGCTTTGACCTGTCCGTAAAAGACAATTCACTCAACAGAACCTATTTTACAAGTTCCTTCACCGTCTTGATTTCAAATTCTTCTCCACTAAATGAGATGTAATTCACATGATACATTCCAACCATGATGATCTTCATTAAATATATAATTTGTATATAGTCTTCTGTTTCACCCTTGTACCACTAGGTGACGTTCCAGCTTTGGTAAGGAAAGAGGATAATTGTTTCCACAAGCCTTAAGGGAACAGCTGTTGATCAAGAGTGATTAAACAGAAATTACATGTAAAATTTTCTTAGAACCACTACAGACACTAACATAGGAAAAGTAGAAGTTGCTGTTTCATGTGTCTCAATAGAAAAATAAGACTTGCAATAAACAGAA